ATTATAAACTAGAACAAAGTTTGACGTATTAAAGTAAATTTTGTGATTATTTCAATTGAAGTGAAGCTGAATGAATCCATTTACAATAGAAATTACAATCAGTTTGTAAAGTTACGAATAATTTAATATCTCAGGCTCCCAACTTTAGCTGTTTAACAAAAAAGTTACTAGCGAGTTATCTTAATAGAGTTTACAGCAACGTAAAGTTAATTATTTACTCTACGAGAAGGATTTGCGAAGGGAACGTAAATGTACGTTTTTATTGATTTAATTCGTCCTCTACTATGAATTCTCACTAATATTAACATAAACAAAACCATTGTTCCACAGTTTTGTGAAATAGTAAAGAACCCACAATAAAAATCTTGCCCCAATTACATATTCTAGGGTAAAAATAAAAAATAACAAGGCTGGCAACACAGCCACTCTTGTGTCAATGTAACAACGATAAAGATAACAAGGCTGCATAAATAGATGCTATCGCCCCGAGGGCCACAGAAAATAAATATTGCGAAAAAGTAGGTCACCAAAATGCTTTTGATCATGGTGAAATAGATACCATACCTGACTGTTTAAGCTCGAATATCTTATTGGTTCATGTTCTCTGTCATGGGACAACCAACCAATGAGACATTCCTCCAATGGTGGAGGAATGTCTCATTGGTCAAATGTTCTTTAATATGGAAGAAGGCACATTTCGACATCTTGAATGTAATTGTGAGTATTAAGTTCTATTGGCACGAAGTAAGCATCTCTGATAAGATTAAGGTTATGGTTGCAGGTTGCTAGCCTATTACTGAGGAGTAAAACAATTGGCCAAATACACAAAAATAAACTGAAAAGCTCTAAAAAATAACTTGCCTTTGTAAAAGTTGGAAATATATAGCCGCTACGTACTAAGTTAACAGTCGTAGCCACGACTACGAAACGGCGTAGCAAGCGTAGCACCGACTATGAAACGGCGTAACAACAGAACCTATTGAGTTGCTTATCTATTTGATCATACATACAATGCCCAACAATATATGTACAAAACACATGACCTAATTACTCTAAATACAAACCAATTTACATCCAATCCAGCTTGCTACTTTACAAAACGCGACACAAGATCCACCCCTACGACAGAGCACCTCCATTAGGGTTAGAGGGCAAACAAATCGCTCTCCTCAGGCTAATTCGATATCGTACACTTAATTAATCAGAGTGAAAACTGCCGCGACCGGGAACTACTCGCTTCTACCCTTCGCTTTATACGAAGTGATAGGAAGAACAGAAGTACCGCTTATGATGAAATCACGATCAATTTTGTGGATTGTATGTTTTAGTTTTTAAAGTAAAATGAAACAAGTGGATCTCACACATGATAGTTCTTTGACGGAAAACGAAACCATGACTCATTGCGTAGCAACTCGCTCAGCAGGTCACTTAAACACTGCACCAATGGTACCATAATCTCTTTGCAATCTAATGAACCTAGTATTAAAAAATGCACGATACAGAATAATATTAAAAAGGTACAATCTTATTACAAAAAATACATAAGACAAAATGAAATAGACCATCAGTACAAACCGTGTTCATGACTTGCTTAGTAACTTAGTACTTACTTAAAAGGTCGCTGACCTTTGGTACTTGTCTGTTTTGCTACCTCCCTCTAATTTAATTACACAGATTTTTAAAAGGGTCCTTGAATCTGCTGTAATTGTATAGGTTTTTCATTAGTTGGTTGTCAGCTCACGATTTTTAGCTCCTTCCCTACCCTACTTCTTAGATATTTTGCGAACTGAATTTTTTGATTAGATTTCATTTTCACGAAAATTGAGGACGAAAATGGGATTGGGCGAACGAAATATGGAGTCTGTTATATTTTTTCCTAAAATGAGATTAAGAGCGCAGGGTGTAAGCCTTTAAATTAGGTTTTTTGGGCAAAAAATGTAATGGGTAGGGTCTGTAGAAAATATTTACTTTTTTACTCTGGGATACAATTTATCAAGTCTTAAAAAGGTTCATATGTGGGCAAAAGTGTTAAGATTTTTTTATCAACCCTTAAACAGCAAACAGGGTTCGTAAATCGTCTACCATTTTCCTAGTTAGTTGAAACGCGTATAAATATTTTAGATCGGTGTTCCTGGCTGGTAATAGCGTTACGTTTAGGCTCGTGTATTATGAACGCAGGCTTACTGCGTCTCTCATGATTAATGGGCTGCCGGCTTCATTATGTACTGAGACTATTACCTCCCACAGTTACTAGACCACGTTTAACTAGGTTATATTTATTATTATAATTGTAATAGGTATATATTACCTACATTCTACATTATCATAAACAATAATAATATTCAGAACAATATAACACATTAAAATACTAGGTATATAAGACGAATGATAAACATTTCGCACCTTTATAGTAAAAGCGTTGTGAAACGAAAATATTCGTAAATTGAGTTAATGCCATCTAATTCTTTTAGGACTTTTCAATACTCAATTCTTATAAATACTCAAATTATGAAATTTTTCGTCTAATAATGGTTTTACTTTAAAGGTGTAACATGGTTTGTTCAAAATTTCGCTAAAAACTTTTAATTATTACATGACCACGGTAAGACATTTGCAAACGCCATTATAACATACAAATATATGTACTACTATCTACTATCTATTTACACTCTAAGAACAATACTCCAACATCTAAGTCCAACAAAAAACTCGCAATTAGCAAAGACAAACTAAGCACGTACTACTTAAGGTATTCCAGTCATCACCCTAAAACATAGCCTACATCCTACATGAGCTCATAAAGTTCCTAATGAACAGACTGAAAACTTCATATATTCACAGTTAAACTGTGCACACTGAATTTACTCGTGTGTACTGTTGATATACGGCCGTGTCAATCCCTCGGCCTCAAAGCTCTCGTCAGCTGGCTGCTGGCTCATACATTAAATTTACAGTTTCATTCAAACTAACTAAGCTACCTGAAAATTTAAACTTCACACGTGTGCTTAAATTATCTTATTGTTTGTTTAAATTGAAGTGGATTTCTGTAAGGTTTTTGTTATGGAGTTTAGAGTTAATTTACTAGGTACATACTAGTGACTTAAGCACATGACCGGATCCCACTTCGTATAGCTGTTAATTACCAGTTTACATTTCTAATCTTCGGAACCCAATGAATTTTCTAATTCTTCATTTATTTAACCTTTTTTCTGGTATTCACAATAAACAAAATTAATTAACAAGTCGAAGCGGGATCCGATGACATGACCTATCTACATCTCCCTACATATAGAATCGAGAACCTATTCTTTAGCGGGACTGCCGACCTCAAGATCCTTTAAACATTAATTAGAAATTTGTCTTGTCCATTTTATTCCACTTTTGATATTTTATCAGACCTAAGAATTGAGGCCTGAGCATTTTACCTATGACCACTAAACTCTGAGACATTAACAATAGATTCTAAATATACATAATCGATACAAATGAACGTGAATGAATTTCGAATAATGGCAACTTCTTTCTTTCAATTCTCCTTTTATCTAATAAAAGAAGAATAAGTCTCATTCATCTTAATTCAAAAAGGTTTCATTCGATTGTGAGGTAATTGATTAAATACTGGCTGGTATACTAACGCAATAATGGGAAGCCATTAAAAACAAAACACTATTTGTTCTTTTGTTTTCTTTAGCATTTTATTCATTCATTTAAGACCTCTTTGAAAGCGTATTAGATCACATCTTTTATTTATTTTGTTATTGAAATCTATTTCTATACTTATCCTTTTACACATTATTCTTTAAAGACTATTAATACGAGATTTTATTACGTTAAAACCAAATAAATATAATTTAATTAATATTCTCAAAGAAAATGTCAAACCTATTTTTTTCTTTTTTCACAGAACCATCGACAAGCGATTCAGAGTATTCGATCTACATTGGAAAATGGACTGAATGTAACCCCCTGGGAGTGGGAGAGCATGCTTCACGGACTATAGAAAGGTATCACACAAGCATACAAACACCACACCGTTCATACGTTTCATACAGCCTTTGAGAATTTAGTTATTCAGTTATAATAGCAGAAAAAACATTTGATGTTCTGCGCTTTGGTATTTTTTTCTAGGCATCGTCTAAGAATATAGGCTGTATAGGTGTATTTTTGAGTTTCAGTTGATTGAATTCAATAGTTTACTCAATATCAATAAACTTGTACCTGAGAAAACATCAATATTAAATGCATCAACTCCAAGGCTTCCTTCATGATTATCTATTCAAGTAATAATAAAAAAAACTTTGAAACCCCGTTAGCATTCTGACAAATTGGATACCGGTCGATCCATCACACTCGCACCAGTAACTGGCTTCTAAAAAATCCATTAATCTTCGTAGTCTTCGTAGATGCAATACTTTTTATAGGTGCCTCTCAAAGTTGCCGATCTAATTAATTATTAAATTCATTTATTTTCATTTGAAAGGCTGTAAATCTAATAGCCGATGTACATCCTTGAAAGTAGCATTTTGGAGAAAGGCGTTGTCTACTAGTAAGAAATATGAAATAGGTTCCTAGATACTTTTACGTTGTATAGATCAAAATTTTTCGTTCTTGCTGATTTACAAAAATATACTAATAAATTCATCAAACAAACTCGAATATTTTTGAAAATCTTGGCAATTTTTCGTAACAAAAATACTGAGAGTTCGTGTTATCCGGACCTTTTTTTATCGCATTTTCTTTTATATTTTTCGATACAAAAACATTCCATAGAAAAAATAGACAAAATATTAACCTTTTCGTGTACCCATCATTCCCCTATACTTATAATACTTTACTTTGACCCATCATTTGTTGACTTAAAATCGTCTAAAGATAACTGAAAACGATTGTATAGTAAAAAAGAATGAGTGAACAGACTGAATGCTACATTCGCTTTGGCACAGTTTTATTTGCAATCAGTTTTATGTTAAATGGTAACAATATATTTTATGCCACATCAGGTACATGAGGGTGGAGACCGACTCGCTAGTACACACGCCCCGTCTCGGTCTGCAACGTCGGCAGGTGCAATGTCGCAAGAAGGACGGACAATTCGTAGAAGCCATGTAAGTTTACCCACCCACATATATTTTATAGAAACGTTTACTTTTCAGTTTTATAATAGAAAGAAAATAATACTTAGTACTTCAAGTTTCACTTAAATGATCTTTCGGTTTGAGATTAGCAATCTGATTCAGATGGTTATAATTACCTACGACAGTAGTTTTTTCTTCAACAACAAAATAAGGTGAATTGCAATTATTATTCTTGTCAAACTAACATTTAACAAGAAGTTTAGGTTTCATATAAATTCCTGTACATCGCAAAATACGCCAAAGTTCCCATTTTCGTATATACTTGAGTTTGTGGCGAAACATATTTCAATCTGCTTCATAATTCACGTGTTTTGAAAGAAATTTCATAAGCTAAGTTCTGAGATGTTTTGCTTGAGCGTGCATTCTCACAGCACTGCAGAACTGGGTCAATTCGTTCACTTATTGATCTCATACCACTTGGCCGTACAAAAACTTGTGTGCGATGAATTATGGAGGAGAATGGAACATTTTTCATCTTCATGTCACGCGCGGAGCAAAGAGTTTTTACTGATCATTATTGAACTTTACGCTGACGTTTGTAACACGAATGGCTTGTGGAATGGCGCCGTGAATATTTTCGTACGTGGTTTTAGAAAATAATGCTGATATTGCGAACGTGAGCTCTGGTAGAAAGGTTTAGAGATGAACGTTCGCTACGTTATGTTGTAGTAAAACTTTTAACCGACTATTCTGGGGAACTGGTGTATTTGCAGTTTGGTTTCAGCGTTACTTGTTTTTTGCTGAGACAGTAAAACCACACCATTTTCTAAATTTTTAACATTTAATCGGTTTATACTTGAAAAAAGGAGAGAGAATGCGGGTCAAAACATGTTTAATTTATAATTATTACTTATTTCTCAATAATAGTTACTCTTTTCTGATAAAACATATATTTCACACAGGTACTGCGGTCCAGTGCTAGCAGAGATAGGTACAGCTCGCGTTTGTGTGATCAAGGAAGACTGTGTGCTAGCTGAGTGGTTGCCATGGAGACCACGACCTGACGGCGCTCTGGTGCGAACCCGAAGACTGAAACGATTGCCGCAAGGTTTGTAAAACTAATACCTATACAAAAACATTTAGTTTCCATTCAAACAATATTGTTTGAAGTCTACAAGTCTCTTAAGCTACTTTAACTTAACACTGAAGCCATACTCCCAAATATAAGTTCTACAGTTCTACACGCAAGAAGAATAGTACTCGCGAACTAAGCAGTCTCATCACATGTAAAAAATGAATTTACTTGACGTAAATAACTCGTCATTGTGCGTATAACTTAGGTGGTGGCAAGGAATGCGATGTAGTTGAGGAAGTAAGGCCTGCAGCACTGGAGGCGAGCGCGCACTGGACTCCTGGACCCTGGGGACAGTGCAAGGTGGCCATCGAGATCGGACACTCCATGCTTCAAGCAGGTCAGTAACTACCATCCTTTGCAACCCACGATAATGAAGCAAGCATGGACTCCTCCTGTATAAGATATTTCGTCGACAATTAATTCTATTAACGGTATTTTGCAGTCTTAACATAATTTTGGGGAAGCGACAGGGGGCTTCCGATTTCAGTAACATTACGAAGCCTCGAATATATAATATTTGCATACTATTTATGAATTTAGTGATAATCTAACAGTCAACAATTTATTATTGTTAATTATTTTTAGCAGAATCCATTATAATAATCGTATTATTTATACACATTCAGCATAAACAGTAGTTAGGATTAGTCTAATGAATAATAGAGCGGTGACTGTCACTATTCATTGTTTCAACACAATTAATTGATACAACATGATTTGTGCGATAATTATACTAAAACTGGCTACGGATGCAACTAATTTGTATTCAGGAAGATAAGGGTAATGACCTCGCGAGACACTGTGTTAGTGAGTGGACATTGGACAATTATGTAAATCGGATGCATAATGTAATGCAGATAGACCAGTTAGGGAATAGAAATAGGATTGCATATCCTGAGAAACAGTGTGATGTTCTTTTTTCTTCAGGTAAAGTCAAAGTCAAAGCATTTATTTCAATTAATCCTTAATTACGCACTTTTGTAACGTCAAAAATTGAATTGTCCTTCCGTCTGTCAGTGAAGCTAGGCGCTCGTTCAAAAGTATAGTTTCGAATGGAGAAGAACGAGCAAGAAACTCCATCGTTACTCTTTTAAAAAAAAATTACAGTCTCATTGATACATTATCTGATTGTTTACCTAATGTATATATGTATATCTAAGAACGATGTAACGACAATACAACGTCAAAATCTAAAGATGCATTCCTCGCCAATTCCACTTTTCGCCAATGTTATGTGTCCCATGTTATTCAGAGAAAGCACGGAGCACGTAGCAACAAATTCAAAATACAGTGTCTAAAATGTGACCAATTGGGTAGTTTCCAGGGTATCAAAATTAAAAATCTAATTAGTTAATGAAAAAATATTGGACACGTATTTGTTTATTTTCTCATATTAAACTGTCAAACACCAAGCGGTCACCGGTGACCGCGACCTATTGTTCTTTAATTGTGTCTATAAAACCGGTACTCGACGAGTTAAGTTGCAATACTTAGATAAAATGACGCTAAGCTTAGGAGTGGGAGGTTATTACGTCATAATGTGCTACAAAATGTGACACGCTGTGACGTCACACGATATTTCAAATTAATATATTGTCGAAAGTATTTATTTTTGTGAGAAAAGAAAAAATACGTGTGTAATGTTTTAAATTAATCTACCAGACGGACATTTTAATAAAATTTACGAAACTACCCTATTGAGAATAAGGAATTAGTCTCAATTCCTGACTATGTAAAAAAATGAGGTCCATGTCGATAAAAAACCGTGATTAGTTGAAGACGTTATCTGATAAAATATTCTCATCACACAAAATATTGAAGTTCTATCAAGATTGGTGCTCAACGTGGATCTATATTACCATTAATATTGTCTTAAAGCCATAAAGTGGCTGATGTATGTTGGACGCATGGCTCTTGGACGCGAGCCATGTGTTAAAACTGCATCGTTTAGCTCATTTAGCTCCAGTTACATATTCATGGAATATGTATGAGGACCTCGAGGACTTGAAGGATTACGGGAAGATACGTAGAAAATATCAGTTTTTTTTAACTTAGAGCGTTCAATATTTCCAACGACAAACAAAAAGTTCAAACGACTGCACGGTTGGTGCGGTGGCTGGGCAACCGGCTGCCGTGCAACGTGTCGCGGGTTTGATTCCCGCACGGAACAACACTTTGTGTGATCCACCAATTGTTGTTTCGGGTCTGGGTATCATTGTGTATGTGAACTTGCATGTTTGTAAACGCACCCACGACACAGGAGAAAATCCAAATGTGTGAAAACGTATTTTTAAGATTAAATTAGAATATTCTACTAAATTCTACTTAAACTGTCATACACCAAGCGGTTACCGGTGACCGCAACCTATTGTTCTTTAATTGTGTCTATAAATACGGTACTCGACGAGTTAAACTATGTTTTATTCATTGTTTAGTAACTTCTGTCTGCTATCAAATAATGTCATATCACAAAATTGGAAACACCACCATTATAATTTTTTGCTGTACTTGTTCCAGTGAACACTGATGATGACGATGATGCTGATGACAATGACGGGACCTATGATGATGACGACGATGACGACGATGATGATGATGGGAGAGTAGTGCGGGATGTGGGTTGCGGGGGAGGGGTGCAACGCCGGGACGCAACATGTGTACGCGCAGATGGGCGAGCTCTACACCCCGCGCAGTGTGCTCATGCGCCTATGCCTACCCTTGTTCAACCTTGTGAGGTGAGGTTATAGTTTATTTAGCGTATAAGTTTAATACAACATGTCTACTCAATAAAATTGCCAAATTTTAACAAATTGATCAAGTTAATTATCTCATAATATTGCAATCATTCGAAAATATAACAAACTGTATTACAGGTACCTTGTCCACGTGACTGCGAGGTTGGCGAATGGGGCGAGTGGGGAGCCTGCCAACCTACTGACGGCTGCCCTCTGTTCCCAGTACAACAACTCACTACCACTGGTAAGCTGCTATTGATCATTTTATCGGATTTAAATCAAATGATTTAGGTAACCTTTAAAGTCATAATAAATCAACAAACCATTAAAATATTACTTCCCTTATAAATATCAAATCTCCTCTAAAATGTCGTGATGCATAGTAACAAAGCATTCTAAACCCTATTTCCATTGCTTAGGCTATAGTGTTCGACGACGGCGAGTGATCTCAGCTGCTTCGGGAGGCGGAGCGCCGTGTCCTCCTCTAGAAGAGAAGCGAACATGCAGCACTCCTCGCTGCGCCTCGTGGAAGGCTCTACCTTGGGGACCTTGTGTACTGAACCAGCCTCACACCACCTGTGGGCCTGGCAAGAGAAGCCGGGAGCTGAGATGTGTTGGACATGATGGGGTAAGATATCAAATATTTACTCTTGCAATAGGGTAGCAGACAGTGTATGAAAATTAAAAATGTAATTAGTCCGTCAATTAGATAATAAAAAAAAAAATTGCACACATATTTTTTTATTTTGTCGTTTAAGAAAACGATACTTAGATAGAACGGAGTTAAGTTTAGAAGTGGGCGGTCTTACGTCACGCTACCCTATGAAATGTGACGTCACACGATATTTCAAATCAATATATCGTAGAAAGTATTTAATTTTGTAAGAAAAAAAAATACGTGTCTAATGTTTTAAAATGATCTAGAAGACGGACATTAAAATAAAATTTAGGATATACTACCGTATTGCAGTATTTCCAGAATCATAAACTAATCAACCGAAACCTGAGATCTCGTTAGCTCGTTCTCAAAAATATTGTTGGTTACATTGCATACTATGATACTATCTAACTAGTACATGGGGTCTACATAAGACCTGCTTTCTTAAAATCAGTTTTTTTTTGCAATTAATAACAGTCACCGTGATTCTAAATGGTTCTCTATTTGAATATATTTTTTTTTTTGTTATTATTTAATATATTTTAATTTTGTATTTCGAATTTAACTTATTTTTTAATTTTGTATTTTTAATTATTATCTTACATTTTTAGATACCTATATGTTTCTATGCCCTAACTGGGTCCATAACTGTACTTTAGCTCTAAGCCTAATAACATCCTTTATACACATTATGGTATGCAAACAAACGAATAAATCCTCACTAATATTATAAATCGGAAAGTGAGTTTGTTTGTTTGTTTGTTTGTTCCGGTTTCACGCCGTAACTACTAAACCGATTGCTTTGAATTTTTGCAGACGTAAAGTTAGAAGTCTGGATTAAATAATAGGGTACTTTTTATCCCGGAAAAATTTGATATTCCCGAGGGAAAACAAAAGTATTGGTATAGATGGCGCTGTATGTATTGGTATATGTCACATAGGCTACTTTTTATCCTTTTGTGACGCGAGCGAAGCCGCGGGTAAAAGCTAGTGAATAAATAAAAATAAATGGATTTACAGAGATGACTGTAACAGTGGACTTAACATCGAGAACCCTAAATACTTCATTGATTACGTTTGTAACACCAGAATTTCTTACTTACATAGAAGGAAGCTCAACGCGCCTGGTGCAGTGGTACAGGAGCTCCCCCTCGTAGTGAGAGATGCCGCATCGCTTGTGCTGGAGACTGTGTGGTGTCGTCCTGGGGAGCCTGGAGTCATTGCTCAGCTTCATGCGCTGCTGCTTCTCATCCACGACCTTCCAGAACTAGGCGACGACATATACTGGCTCACTCTGCTCCCAGTAAGTTCATATTTTGGTAATATTGTGTATATATATATATATATATATATAAAGTTATACTATAGTAGGTCCACCCTTTAATTGGAACCTATCTAGCCTATAAGTGACCACTGCTGACCAAAAGCCTCTTCTCACACAGAGAAGGTATGAGAGCATTAATCACCACGCTTGCTCAATGTAGTTTGGCGATTTCAAACTTATAATAAGAAGTTATAAGTGCAGGGGCTTATTCTTGAATCCAATTCCGATCCGAGAAATAAATATATCTTTATGTTTGTCTTAATGAAGACATACTAAATTAACTAAAAATCGCGGGTTACTTGCGCGTGAATATACTGTAATGTACGCTGCTCATGAGGAAAAATCCCTCTGTAGTTCGAAACTAGTAAAGCTTTTCTCGGTATATTCACATGAGTAAACCGCGATTTTTATTTAGTTTGTTATCATTGCTGTTTTGACAGAAGTTAATACTGCATATGCAGTCACAGATTTCACTAGAACACATTATCGTCGTCATCGTCGAGCAAATAGCTTCACTAGAGGACTGACCTACAGACTGACATTTTTTCTTATTATTTAATATTTAAATATTTTGTTTTGACGTTCAAAAGTGCCTTCCTGGTCTAATTGAAATAAATGATTTTGACTTTGACGTTTAGATAACAATCTCCCACATTCCAGACGGCTGGCCATGTCCTGCGGAAGACCAGTTGATTCAGAACGAGACGTGCAACACTCACGCGTGCGCCACGTACTCCTGGCTGGCCACTCCCTGGGGACCCTGCGAGAGAAGGCGACAGGACTTCATTCCTGTTAACAACTATACTGATTTACTGGTGAGCTGGTCTACCGTATACAAAAAGACTTCTGTATTATATGTAGCTTCCACATACTTACTTGTATTACAACCGACTTCAAAAAAATGGAGGTTCTTAGATTAAGCTGTCTGCTGTATGTTTGTGCGTGATTGGCTGAACCGACTGCCTCGTTGGCCGAGTGGTTACAGGTGCGAGTTCTGGGCGAACGGTCTCGGGGTCGAGTCCCGGGTCGGGCAAAATATTACTGAGTTTTTAAAAATTCTCAGTAGTAGCACGGAGTCTGGAATTGTGCCCGGTATATGGCAATAGGGTCACCCCCTATTACATGGGACTCATAACATAAATAGTGAAAAGTGGGTGTAACATATGAAGGGGTTGAAGGTTTTTTTTTTAGTGTAGTTTATAAAAGAACTAGCGGACCCAACAGACGTTGTCCTGCATATCCACTTGAATGTATAAACAAAAATTCTTTCAAATTAGTTCAGCTGTTTAGGATAAATAACCTAAACATCGACTGCAGCGCCATCTGATTTGTGAATCTAAACCATTCCCAGATCCCCATGAACACACACAAAAAATTTCATCAAAATCGGTCCAGTCGTTTGAGAGAAGTTCAGTGAAATACACACTCACATATAAAGATTATTAGTGGGATGATTGACTTGTGCCACGATCGTCGAGAAATATCCCATCTTATTTATTCTTAGGACGGAGAGACCTTCAACGAGAGTGACGAAGATGAGCCGTGTATCGAGGAAGGAGAAATGATGCGAGACGTGATGTGCGTTCAGAACAATGCCGATGTTGTAAGGGAAGCTTTGTAAGTAACTTACTAAAGAATATTAATTACTTCTACGACTTAATATGTAGTTTGTATTGTAACTTTCGTGAGACATAATAAATAAATTATTATGTTTTCGGCTTACTCACTAGTCGAGTTCCTCGTCAAATTATTACGTGAGTAAGCCGAAAACATAATAATTTATTTAATACTAGCTTTCACCCGCGGCTTCCCTCGCGTCACAAAAGGATAAAAAGTAACCTATGTGACATATACCAATACATACAGCGCCATCTATACCAATACTTTTGTTTTCCCTCGGGAATATCAATTTTTCCGGTGTAAAAATATAAACTCTTCTAACTAGAAGTCCGGATTAAATAATAGAGCACTTATAGTAAAGTTTTACGTCTGCAAAAAATCAAAGCAATCGGCGTAAAAGCGGAACAAACAAACAAACAAACAAACTCACTTTCCAATTTATAATATTAGTAAGGATGAAGTTCTAGTAAATGTAGACTTCTTTTTTGATTTTGACTGTCTTCTGTCAGATAATAAACATCAGTTTAATGATAACTTTTATCAAACTAGGTGTGCTCCTCTCCGTCGTCCAGCCTCTCGTCGCGCGTGTACGGTACGTTGTCGCCGCGGCTGCAGAGTCGAGGCGTGGATGCCGTGGTCGCCCTGCCCTAATACTTGTGGTAAGTTATGAGTTATAGCAAAAACCGTGCTAAAGGCTTTCGAAAATGGATTAATGAATTTTGAAACTGCAATTCTCATACTACGTACCCTTAGATTTACCAATAAGGAATTTAAAATTAAATATTAAAATGAAATATTCTTTTTGGCATTATCCCAGCTTCTCCGTGGTCGGACCTCCTTGAGCATCAGTACAAATTTTTCAGTATACTGACCAGTAAAACTTCACAATAATGTTTTTTTATCTATATTTGATGGGCCGACGTTTGACCACTACCTCGCCTGGTGGTAAGCGATGATGCGGTCTACGATGGAGCACGTCGTCCCATAAGCAATCTATTCATGTCATCTATAATTCTTTCTCCGCACAGAGCCAGGCAAGCAGGTCCGAGTGCGAGTAGTCCACGGCGGTCCGAGCTGTGGGTCCCGCATGGAGACGCGCGAGTGTCCGGTGTCTCGCACGTGTCGCGCGCGCGACGCCGCCTGGGTCGCCGGCGACTGGAGCACGTGTCGCCTGCCGCCCATGCAACGCTGCGGAGTCGGATACAGGGTTCGAAGTAAGTGGCGTTTGAAATAGAGTAAAAGTTCGTTCAGCAGAGTACGTATTAAATGTTGAGAAACGTTGGAAATACGTTTTGCGAGTATGGCAGTTTGCGTAGGTTTGTACATACATATTTTGCATTCAAGGAAAAGATTCTTTCTTTTAACTGCTGAAGGTTAACTTTCCGCAAACGTTGATCACTGGTGATCTACTGAAAGATCTGTGCGACGTTAAATCATGGAGATAACTTTATAAACTTCCAAAATTGGTCATATTATTCACCTATTACTTTGTAACACACTTTACGTTATTCAATATCGCAGGCATCTGGTGTGGTTCCGAGTCTCACCGCGTGGAAGCCGGAGCGTGCGCCGGTCAGTTGATCCCCCGCAGCGTGGCCGCCTGCCACGTCACCTGCGAACATATCACTCCACTCACCTGTGACGTCATCTGCTCGGATCCACTCAAGTAAGTACAACCACAAACTATGTATTTAAACCCTTATTTACGGCAGCGTAGAACACATTTTTTATTACCCCCTCCTCTTTCCACGCGCAGTTAAAGCTAAGACCTGACTAACGGACTACACATTTGACAAAGATCACATTTGATAAATGTGAAGTTTTTAAACTGTCTCCAATCAAAGTCAAAGTCAAAATTATTTATTTCAATTAAACCAGGAATGCCCTTTTGAAAGTCAAAACAAAATATTGAAATATTAATAAATATCAGTCTGTCGGTCAGTCCTCTAGAGAAGCCATTTTCTCGTTCCAAAGTATAGAGATTCCTATGGAGAAGAACGAGCAAGGAATTCCATGGGTTACTCTTTTTCAATCAGCCCCTTTTCAAGTCTGAAGAATATCGTAATGTCTTATCAATTGACTATGAGTTTCGTTTCGTCAAATCTTGTGAAGAAACGAAACTCATAGTCGATCGACTGCTACGAGTTGTTCATTACAGTTTTACTGTATAATCTGAGAATGGTTCCTATTGTACTTGCAGATACCTGGACGCGTCTGACCCTGATGTTCCAAACTGCGTTTGTAAGAACGTTTCCTTGGAGCTGTTACCAACCGACTCTGACTGCATCCTTCCATCTGGGTACGTATTTATGTAAAAGTCAACATCTCTTGTCCAAAATTAATAGTAAAAAACGATTAAGGTATCCAGATTCCATAAAAAACTTAATATTTTTTTGTTTAACTGTAGAATGGAGTGCGGTGAAGGAAGGTCTCTGCGCGCCGCCAGGTGTATGGTGGGAGGACGGGATGTGCCCATGGACGTCTGCAAGAAATATCATCCTCTCACTGGTACGTTAAGTTTCAATCATCATCAACAGCCTATAAATGCCCACTGCTGAGCAAAGCCTCTTCTCACACGGAGAAGGTTAGAGCATTAATCACCACGCTTGCTCAATGCGGGTTGGCGATTTCAAACTTATAATTAGAAATTATAAGTCCAGGTTTCCTCACGATGTTTTTCCTTCACCGTTTGTCAGTGGTGTCTAAATAATCTTAGAAAGTACATATAACTCGGAAAAAGTCACATTGGTACTTGCCGTTGGTAGGTTTCGAACCCGCACCCTCATGCATGAGAAGTGGGCGTCTTAAACCTCCGGGCCACCACGACATTTTCGCCACCAACACAAGTTTCAATCCTACTGGTAAATTACCCGTCTGCTCAAAAATGAAGAGTAATGTTTTAAGATATTCTTTTACTGAAGTGAGCCCCTTTTTTGCCGTTACTGAACCCTCTTTCTTATGGGGGAAAATGTCTCCTTCCATAGCTTCTGTGGAGTCCGGAGATGCTGATCATGCTGCTGGTCATGTTTTTTTTTAAGGGTGGAAAATCATCGATTGACTTCTCCCGCCTGGGTGAGGCGGGAGGGAGTGTCAGACTCTTACTGACTAAAAACCACCCCGTTCCTTCTCATGCACTTCGAGCCGGAGCCCCGGTAACCCGTTAGGTATATGGCCACTTTACCGGTCATTTCAGCGAATACTTTACCCTTAAGTACTTAAAAAATGTTAACATATTTAAATTCAACTCCATCTCCCCCTTCAGGTCCAAGTCGTGTCCGTGAAGCCTCCACGGACGGCTACCTGTACGACGTCGAGTTCCCGTCCTTGTTGCGCGGCGCGTGCACTGTGCGCTGCGCACGGGACTGTGCGCTCGGGGAGTGGGGGGAGTGGGGACCGTGCGCGTCTGAACCTGGATCTAGGGCTGCATTCCGATTCCGTACTAGGTGAGTATTCATGAAAAAATCTCGTTTAGCCACTGCATATTGACCTCGTTTCTTTGTATTCAAAACTTTTAGTCCAGTAAAAAAAGAAAATATTTAGTTGAAATCTTATTTTCCGCATTTTGACGATTTCGTTGAAGCTTTGTAGTGTTTGCAGTGTTCGATTTTATTTGTAAAAACTATTCTTCAACTAAACTACTACTTAATTATTATCTTTTTTCTGTTCTTTTTTCGTTTACTGTCAGCCTCGTTTTATGTCCATTCGAAAGACTGTTTAATACTGGTTAAACATCTAACAGACCTAAATGAACATTGTAACGATATAGGGAGGTGATAGAGGAAGGGTCAGGCGGAGGTCGTGAGTGCGGCGCGACCCTGCAGCGCGCGACGTGCGCGGTGTCGGAGCCGCGGTGGGCGCTCGGCGACTGGAGCGTCTGCGCACCGCCGCGCGCGCTCTGCGGACGTGCGCTTATTAACAGGACTGTCACGTAAGTATACACTATAATTTATCCCTTTTTATGTTTGTAAGATAGATAGGTAGACTTGTCACTTGGTGGGAAAGCAAACAGCGGCGCCCATGGACACCCGTAACACCATAGGAGTTAAGTACAAATTACCAATTTTTAGAGTCTTTTTTTTAAATAAAAAAATCTTTTATAGGTTAGGGATTGGATGGTTGGGGATGGAGGTGACAAGTGGACTTACGGCAACTTCACTCACTCTGATTTAATTTGCTAGTATTATTCGGTCGAGCCGACCCATTCATGCTAAAATATGTCTCTGCCACCTAAATTTCTACGTCTACAATATTTGCTTGCTTATCAAAGAACCTCTACCTCATCTTTAAGTCGTGTTCCTCATTATACTGAAGGTCATGACTACCTCCATGGAACACTCCTCCAAACACAATGTCACGCCAGAAACATTAAAACCACTAACAATATCGATCTACCCCTACAGCTGCGTGGACTCAGACGGCGTGGACCTGGACCCGACGACATGCGAGGCGGCGGGCGCGGGCCCCGCCCCGACGCAGGACGCGGCGTGTCGCGCGCCCTGCCCCAATGACTGCGTCGTCAGCTCCTGGTCCGAGTGGAGCCCCTGCGAACAGGTTAGTACATCATATTGCATTCATAATTATCGAAATAATCTTTGTATAATTACAATCTTGATAATAAAAATAATTTTAATTGGAAATACGTCTCACTCATTTAATCATGAATATGGAAGGACCAGGGTGTGACTTGAAATCAGTAAAGCTTTGTTTCAATTATTCATGTAAGCCAATGTGTGTTGTTTTTCAATGAATGTTCTTTGGTTTAATAAAGATAATAAAAAAAAATGTTCTTTACTTGTGGTCCTATATTCTACTCATTGTCTCATATCAGACTAAATGGGGAGGTCGTCGTGATCGTACCCGCGTGGTGCTGCGCCCCGCTGATGACGGAGGTTCCCCATGTCCACACCTCGTGGGGGCGGAGCCCTGCTCCCCCCACGCGTACACCTGGCACGTCGCACCTTGGGATGACTGTCAGCCTTTAGGTATGTATGTTAAAACATCATTCAATGATATATTTTTTCTTATTAAAATGAGATATAAGTAACGAAATAATGTCTCTTGTTTAATCAAATAATCTCGAAGATGTCTGATTATTTTCGAGCTATTCTAGGGCCCTAGTATATTAGAGTATGACATTGTTTTAAATTGATTTTGGGTGACCTTGGGTGATAAAGACCGTTTGTTGTTAGGAGGATCCCCATGTGGTGAAGGTACAAAGAAGAGAGCTGTCAGGTGTCTGCGAAGTGACGGTGTTTTTGTTAACGATTCATTCTGCCCTGTGAGTATTTATTTTGTGTATAAACAATCTTAAAGTATTAACACCTTGTGGCTTTTTGGCATGATCTGCCTTTTAGTAGGTAATTTAGGATCAGATTTGATTTATTTAGAAAATAATCTTATAAACTTTTATTTTTCAGTATTAGCACGGAATCTCAAACTGTGCCCGGTATAATAGGCTCACCCCCTATTACATTAGACTCATTACATAATTAGTGAAAAGTGGGTGGTACATACATTGCACAGTGGCATTAGGTGCCGTAATATGTACCCCTGCCTACCCGTTCAGGGTTAAAGGCGAGATGTTGTGTTATGTAAACTTTTATTTTTTTAAGTTTATTCAAAATTTCGTCTATGTTTATTTGCTACTTTACTGATAAGCCCAGATATGTACTAATAACTGGTTATTTGCTGTAACACAGAACACTACAACAACCGAAGCCAAGGAGTCGTGGTGCTACGTGCCGTGTGGAGTGGACTGTGAGCTGAGTGAGTGGGGACCCTGGGACTCCTCGGCCTGCTCCTGCGGGGACGCCAACACTGCCAGCCATATGCGAAGGACCAGGTAACCGTTCGTAACTTCAAGAGGGATATTTTTTATGACATATATTTTGTTATACCACCATCGTGGCAAAATAAGCACACGGCCCACCTGATGGTAAATGGTCACCGTGGCCTATGAACACTTGCAACACTAGGGGACAAAAGAGCTGACTGGTCACTTTGATGGTAATTGGGTACTTTGCTTTGTCAAAAATAAATTATTTCGACTGTTCAATACAATAAAATATTAAAAAACAAGAATTTTGGAAATCGGTTCACAAATGACGGAGTACTGCGCGAACAAACAAAAAAAAAAACAATCAGCCGAACATAGTACATCCTCCTTTTTTTGAAGTCGGTAAAAATAATCACACTTTTATTAATTGATTTTATGATCAACTTAATTTTAGTATTTCTACAGCAAATTACGAAATAAATAATGTTGTTTGACGCTAAAAAACGTGACGTCACAATACACAATCTCGTACAAAATTCATAGAAAACTGTCGTTTTTGACAGTTCGAGAAAAGTATTGAATTTTACTAGTTGACAAGTACCCAATTAATCGATGGTAAACAGACCCATGGACACCCGAGGAGTTACAAGTACGCTATCGTCCTTTGAAGGAGAGTAGCCTTCGAAAAAACGAACTAAATAACTCAAATTAAAATGAACTTTGTATGTTGCGTCAGTTTTTAACAAAATGTTATAGGAAGCCTATGTAATTGGAATTGTAAAGTTACAATGCAATCTTTCCCATGTCCAGACAACACCTGACGGCGGCAGTGTGGCCGGGTCGCGCATGCCCGGCCACGGAACAGCGCGCGCCGTGTCCGCGCGAGCCGTGCCTCAAGCTAGTAGCGCGGCCCACGCTCGGGTGCCACGTACAGGTACTTAATGAGGTAACATACTCTCTACTTCGTCGATGCGTCCACTAACATCAGCATCATCATCGTTTTGTGATTTTATTAACATTACTATGTAATGCCTCGTTAGCCGAGTGGTCGCCAGTGCGACGGCCGGCCAAAGTATTACTGGGTTTTTAAAAAATGTAGAATGTAGAATGGAGTCTGGAAGTGTGTCCGGTATATGGCAATAGGCTCACCCCCTATTACATGGGACTCATAACATAAATAGTGGAAAGTGGGTGTTACTTCTGTGTGCACCTCTGCCTACCGCTTCGGGGATAAAAGTACTGGGCGTGATGTAATGTTATGATATGTTACTATTTAATATTTATGAAAGGGTGTTTATATCACCACTTGCGGTTCCGGCCACCATTAATCAGCGGTTTCCGTGGTATAAAAAATACTCTATGAGTTATTCCAGATCATAGTCTACCACTCTTCCAAATTTCTTTCCGATCCCTTCAGTCGTTATAATGTGATTCATTAACAAGCATACACATCAACAGCCTATAAATGCCCACTGCTGAGCAAAGCCTCTTCTCACACGGAGAAGGTTAGAGCATTAATCATCACGTTTGCTCAATGCGGGTTGGCGATTACAAACTTATAATTAGGAATTATAAGTCCAGGTTTCCTCACGATGTTTTCCTTCACTGTCTGTCAGTGGTATCTAGATACTTAGAAAGTATATATAACTCGGAAAAAGTCACATTGATACTTGCCGTTGGTTACAAACATACACACTTAACCAAACGTTCGCATTAATAATATTAGTAAGTTTAGTAAGATAGTAATATCAGTAGCAATAAAGCTTACAGGTTGCCTGTGGGTAAATAGGTACCGTAACCAAGATTTAACCCAGTTTTATCAAATTGATAAAGTTCAAATATTTCTCAATTGGGTAGTTGCCTGGGTCAAAAATAAATTATTTTGATTTTTCAATCCAATTAAATATTGAAAAATAGTTACACTTTCATTCATTGATTTGCCGATATACTTAATTTTCGATTTATTCTTGCATTTTCTTCAGATATAAGTGTGCTATTTGACGCGAAAATATGATGACGTCATAAGCTAGTATTTCGTACAAAATTCATAGAACAATATCGTTTTTGACGTTTCGATAAAAGTATTGAATTTGACTAGTTGTCAACTACCGTATTATTCATTCGTTATAATAGGTCCAAACTTTAGAGTAACTATGTATAAACTTTCAGCTATTGATTAGTTATTTGGTACTATTTGCAAGACTATCATAAAGTCTGGATTAGTTAATCAGACGTCCCACAGAATAGCAATGAGTTCACCCGTTGTGATATGTTTGTTTGTGGAACTATCCTTACTTATATTATAAATCGGAAAGTGAGTTTGTTTGTTTGTTCCACTTTAACGCCGTAACTACTAAACCGATTGCTTTGATTTTTGCAGACGTATAGTTAGAAGTCCGGATTAAATAATAGGGTACTTTTTATCCCGGAAAAATTTGATATTCCCGAGGGAAAACAAAAGTATTGGGATAGATGGCGCTGTGTGTATATGTCACATTGGCTTTTTTTATCCTTTTGTGACGCGAGCGAAGCCGCGGGTAAAAGCTAGTATAATATAACTTAAGAATAATAATATGTACCCCTTCATTACTTCAGTATTTCGGTGTTTTCATTTGTTTATTTATAAGAATAGAAAGGTACAAAAACCAATTACATTACTCAATACATATTCATATTTTATGGTTGTATCTACTGTAGATCCTGGCTTACAGGAGTTGCAGCGGTTTTGGGAGATTGTGGCGGACTTGTCCCATAAAAAAAAATATATGTTCCCCTTCATATGTTATTTAGGCACTTATTCCACCATATTCAATTCTTATTTCTGTGTTCAGACGGCAACAGGCCTAGAAGCAGTTGGTGCATGTGGGTTCGGAGTAAAAGTATCCCACGTGCGCTGTGAACTGACCTCGGCGGTCGATGACACCGCCGACCTGTACTTGCAGCCCTGGCGCTGCGCTGCAGTACTTCCTGGCAGGATCGTCGCACCACCCATGCATTACCAGGTAAATCTATCATCATCACCATCACCATCAACTGGAAGACAAATTAGGAAAGACGCTAATGCACATTCAAGTCACAAGTCATTCTGTCCGTCGCGGAGAACCTAACGGGTTACCGGGGCTCCGGCTCGAAGCGCAGAAGGAACGGGGTGGTTTTTAGTCAGTAAGAATCTGACACTCCCTCCCGCCTCACCCAGGCAGGAGAAGCCATTCGATGATTTTCCCCCGTTAAAAAAAAAGTCAGCCGTAGTTTCAGTAATAGTTTCCATGCATCCAAACAAAGAAACTTTTACATTTATAATATTAGTGTGATGATAATAGCAAGATATATAGTCTTCCAAGATCTATATAATAGTCTTCCATTCTTTGTTCGCAGGAGGACGAAATCTGCGAGGTGGAGTGTGGATGCAAACAGTCGGAGTCTGGCCAGCCGGGCCCCTGGGGCTCGTGGGGCCCCTGCCGCGGCGGGGCCCGCTCCCGCACCCGGCAGCTACTTGTACCAGCTCGACGAGCTTGTAGTACTCCTTCCAGGTACAATAGTTTATTTTAAACTATTTCTGTCACTAACTTAAATGGGAAGTGTAAGATATTAAATGTACCTACGGATGGACCTATAGGGATACCTAGGGATCTTCCTAAGGGCTCGTACACAAAACTCCGATGCGACGCGAATTTGCAAAGCAAAAAATTACGATGCGAATTGCTGCGATGCGATTTCGTGCGACAAGGCGTCTCCCAGGGTGATCATTCCTTCGACGACCGTCAACCGTACTAAACGTATTTTAAATTTAAAACTAGGTCGTGACATGAATCTGAAATTTCTGATCTGATTGATTGTTCTGAAATGTCATGGGTCGTAAAAAGAAGTGTGCAGTATTGTTATTGCTTAGGAGATACAGGAAAAAGAAACAAATATTTTGGGAAGATAAGATTTTGATGCGTGATGCGAATCAATTCGCAAGTTCTTGCGATGCGTAGAAGGAGCTCGCACATTTTTGCTATGCAACGTCGCATCGCAGTTTTGTGTACGAGCCCTCAAAGTAACACGATTGATTACATTTAATCTAGTGTCCAATTTGTATTATTTAGTCTCTAACTTTTAATTTCTACTCCATCGAAAAATGACACGATGAAATTATATTTATAGTAATATTTAATTTAATCTAAATAAATTATTTCTCGCCCTTAATTATTGTTGTTTTCCATTCAGATACGTGACAATTGAATGGGCTAACTGCACGGGCGAGTTGGACGAGATCCCCGACTTGTTGGCCGTGGAGCCGCGCGAGGACAAACCGCGTCGCGCGTCCGCCAGCCAGGACATCTACCACGACGGATATATCGGTACACTTCTTCTTCTATCTTCCTCAACATACTTTAGTTTCTGCTCTTTCAGTCTTGAGCAGTTTCTTTCATTTTATGCAACTCTACGTTTGATATCATCATACTAATGCATCTAGTGTATGCAACTGTCCATTTTAAGTGTGGGAGAGCCATGCTTCGGCAAGAATGGGCCGGCTCGACCGGAGTGATACCACGGCCTCACAGAAAACCGACGTGAAGCAACGCTTGCGTTGTGTTTCGTCGAGTGAGTGAGGTTACCGGAGGCCCAATTACCCTCCCCTTCCCCAATCTCCCCAATTCCTGAACCCCCCACGACCCTCAAACTCCTAATCCCCAAAAACCCGGTATCGCACTTGTAACGGCTCTGGCGTTCCAGGTGTCCATGGGCGACGCCGATTGCTTACCATCAGGTGATCCGTCTGCTCGTTTAACGGCTTATGCCATAAAAAAAAACTAGGATTTTCAAATATTTTTATAGCAGATTTTTAGATCAAATTGTTCCATTTTATTTCAAAACGATCTTGTTCCTGCCTTAATCTCACATTACTTGGGTGTCGGTACGCTATGTCTTCATTTTCAATTCTCCCTTGTCATCCTATCAAAAAGACCTTGTACTTTTCTTTATTTCTGATTTACTTTAAAAGCTGTCGTTCGCGCATCTCTCCTAAAGACTTTTCTCAATGATATTATTTAAGAAAGTTATTGATTGTTTTGAAATGTCATTACAGAGGGCAGCACTTCAGTACTGGCGGTGGTGTGGACGGCCACCATCGTGCTCAGTCTGTACGGAGCTTACATGTTGTACCGCGGCTTTATGAGGTACATATAATAAAACAGAAAGGCCCTTTCTACTTTTATTTCTTCTTTTAATTAAATCAAGATTGGTTATCTTAATTAGACGAATAAAAGACATTTTAAACGTTAAATCAAAATATGACTGCCTCGTTGGCCGAGTGGTCGCAAATGCGACCTGCCTGGCAAGGAGTCTCGAGTTCGATTCCCGGGTCGCGCAATGTATACTAGGTTTTAAAACAAAATCTCAGTAGTAGTCGGAGTATGGAATCTCGAATTAAAGCGGAGTCTGGAATTGTTCCCGGTATATGGCAATAGGCTCACCACCTATCATATGGGACTCATAACATAAATAGTGCAAAGTGGGTTTTACATTGTACAGTGGCATTAAGTGCTGTAATGTGCACCTTTGCCTATCCCTTCGGGGATAAAAGGCGTGATGTTATGTTATGTCAAAATATATCGGACCGGTAGTTTGGTCCTCCAACGAAAGTATCTGTTCGTTCCAAACCGTTTTACTTAAAGCATAGCGAGCTAAAGTTTAATATGATACGCTAACTAAATGTTTAAACCATTCCAGATGCCTGAGGAGTAGAAAACTGAAGACGATCACGAAAGTGTAATGTAGAAGCAGGTAATACATATACATGTGACAACTCGCTCGCCGCGCGGCGTCGCTCGCGGCCCTTCACGTTCTCGTGGACATTCTGTTCGTTTTATGATCAGATTGCGTTGTTCTAGTGTACGACTACTATCGTTGAGTTTACTGCCCTATGTTGATGTTACATCTTTGATCTGTTTGCTCATTTCATTATTTGCGAATTATAAAGGTTTACCATTTCTCCAATTACATATATCTGTATCTGTAACCGCATCAACTACTAGTAATATACTTAACAAATGATAGCCAGCAAAGAGTCTGTCCGCAGGAGTGCTTCCATGTTTTTACTACGTATATAAAAATAATGCTTTAGACGGTTTTTATAACTCCACGCTAAACGATTAGCCGAAGCGTTGGTCGGGCTTTTTGATTGACAATATACTCGTTAGCTGTAATACTAGCTAGCTACGCCCGTAGCGGACTGTAGGCGAGGCGGTGGACGCCTTCCACACATTCCAACCGTCGGATACTCAGGCAATGTGCATCACACAGAGCCGTCCATTTTGATAAGCGATACTTGAAGTGACGATTGGCTAGGAACTTCATACATTCCTTTCAACATCACCAGACTACTCGTTGAAATTACCGCAATTGTAAGCAACTGTATCTATTTTCAATACAACTTTCAGTGTCTATTTTTTATAAATAATAACTTTTACAATGATCTTTTTTCGCACAAATACTAATGTAATGTAAGTGTAATTCCGATGCTTAATTGATTTACAGTAAGTATTGTAAGCATTTTAACGATACAGTAAGTAAGTCGATGTCGAGGACGACTAGTCGCCAGCCGCTAGTCGGTACTGCCGGGGAAGACTTGTGTTGACCAAGTTACACGTGACACATCATGCCACATATCAGTGTTATATTTAAACAATCGTCGTAATTACTATAAAATATCTTCTGCGTGTGAACACAAACCGATCGTTTGAACCTGTAAACGTGACATTCACAACATTTGCGCTGAGAACAATGTCTAGTCATGTGCGGAAGACTTTTTATAACGCTTAATATCATCCAAGTAGAGCTTTGGCGCACAAAAACCTACCTAATATGAATAGTGTATAAGAACTATTATTAACTGATCATACCGTTTTGAGATAATAATCGTGTATAACACTTTTTTGTAGATTTTGCATTTAAGCCCATGTATTGTGTACGAGTATTTATATAACGTGAGTGTGTTCTAAGCTCTTCGACTTGTTTCTCCTACTTCACATTTCCTTGAAACTTTCATTCTTCTTCTACTTCATCTGCGACCTTTATATAATTTTGCTTCTATTATTAATTGTTTATGAAGTAAAATTACGGATATATGATGATTTTTATATATTTGCTTATTAAGTATTACTATTTAATATGGAAAGTTGGAAAAGCAAACGGAATCACGATATGAAGTTTCTTTAAAATTCTTTAACCATGGATATCGATTCAATTTACTTCCGTTATCTTAAATCATCTTTCTATATTAAATAGCAGCACACAAATCTATTCTATCATATGTATAACATAATATAGTACATCTATTGTTAAGTTTTAATTTCTCGAATATAATATATTTCTATCCTTGGCTACTTCTTGTTCCTTCAAGACAATATCTTATAAAAATGTTATTTATATGATATCCTATGTAATGAAGTATCATGGCATCTGTTCTTTCTGTCTCTTGGTATCTGTCAATAGTGTATCGAACCAGTGTATTTGTAACCGTACTTATATCATTACAATACGATATTGATGTGAAACATGATAGTTAAGGAATCGTGTTAGACAATACAATATTTGATATTTAATAAAATTTGATTGTGTTTTTATATATTTGTGTTTTATTTTGTAAAATTTCTCGTCAAATGTCATTAATAGACTGACATTTTTGATACCTTGTCCTTAACTGTATCCTTTCCAGGGTAGGTATTTAGATTCTACAGATGGGGCCCAGTAGGGCTGATGCCCAATACGGAGCCGCGGAGGACTTAACGGGTTGCCGGGGCTCCGACTCGAAGAGCAGGAGTAGGAACGGCGTCGTTTTAGTCAGTAAGAGTCTGACACTCCCTCTCGCCTAAACCAAGGCGGGAGAAGTCATTGGGATGACTTTTCCCACTCAAAACCTGGGCCTCTAGCCAAAAGCCACTTTAGCGCTTGTCTACAGTGAGAGTAGAAATCAAAATGTATGGGGATGACACTGACAAGTGTCAAAATTTACGTCAATTCCATATAATTTGGTTTTCTACTCTACATGTAGACAAGCGCTAAATGGCATTTGGCTACAGCTGCAGGGTATTTCGATTCTGAATTCAAAATGACTAATCATTATGATATCAGACTCAAAAAGTCGAAATATTGCTGAATAATATTAAGTATAGCTTCCAAATGACTTCTAAATCTGTATCTAATAATTGCTGGACTACAAAAAAAATCTAATATTATGTTAATAATTATGATGTTCCAGAGAATGCATTGAGGACACAATAGACAACCTGTAAAATCTAAAAAAACAGCAAAAGGATTAAATAAACATAAAAAAAATTGCGAAAATAATTTTATTTTCCATAAATATCTGCTGACCATCGTCAGTCATTTCATAGCTACATTCAAACTAGTTAAAGCTTTCGGTTCATACTTGAGTTCTGCCAGGCCTCTGTGCACGATGTCATTGACCCTGGTCGCTCGGAGGTCTTTCCTGCATTTAGCCACGTCCTTCTCCGCTGCTGTCAAGTTCTCCAAATTGTTCAGTAGAACCTAATTCGGAGAAATCAGAATCAATAGAACAAACAAACAAACTATTATTTAAAAACGTCCAGACGTAAGTAGTAATTAGTACCAGTACTTAATTCATCCACCCATAACCATAGACCGAAAGCTCATCGTTTGCCGGAATACTGAAACGTTACTTAATTTTAAGTCGTGCTCAAATATCGTGCCATCTCTGTCATTTTACAAAGAATTTGTAGAGATAGAACTATACTTACGCACGACTTTATCTCATAAAAATTAATATTTCACATAATTTACAAAGTAAGTTCTAATGACTCTAGAAAAGAGTGAGGACCCTACTTCATAGTAGGGTGAAGTACTTAACGAAGGGTAGTTTACGTACGTACGTAGTTTACGGTAGTAGTACGTTTTTCTGCCTAGACCGGAAGACTAATATAAATAAAGGAAAAACTGAAGTAATTAAAACATTTTTCATTTTCGTAAATTACTACTAAAACAGAAATACAGTTTTAAATATGAAAACATACAAGAAGTCATTATACAAAATATATACCAAGTATACTAATACACAGAGTAATAGGCTGATTTTTCAAACTCTTTTGCTTTCTTTGTAACATTTACCATAGTGGGCGAGTTGTACGTGAAGACATCAGAACAATAGTAGTCCTTCATACATGACATCTCCACGCAGAATGGCGCATTGCTGGTACTGGCACCATCTCCAACCCCCGTTAAACTCCCTACCACGTCTTCAAATAATTTCGGTTGAAAATTACCCAGACATACAAAGTTGGGACTAATTTGCGCCATCCTGGTGCACAGAGAATTATGATCACAGTAAAATAAACATAGATTACAATATTCTGCCAAGGCACGGAATATCTTCCAGTCTACCCTCGCTTTCCCCGGAGGAGTGACGGCAGGATACGCGTACTGAGATCTGCCCTCCATGTTCAAGTAAACACCGCCAGACTCTGTCCAAGCACATCCTGGTAAGATCAAGTTTGCAAACTCTGCGCCCTTGTCACCTTGGTAACCAACATAAATAATTTTGCAAGATGATGGCGGGTTCCAATCGTAGAATATGCTGTCGGCTCCTACAGAGACCACTACTTTAGGACACTTTTTCTCCAATGCACAGCGTGCCCCAAGCTTCCATCCTGCCTCCAAAGCACCACCAAAGCTCGCTTCCCTTGTGATGATGTTCAGAACACCATAATCTTTAATATCAAAACTTTTTGCGACTTCGTGTAAAGTTCTCATTATCTGAAAACCGTCAGGAGTCTGTAATTGCGTTACGCCTACAAAAATAACTGGTTTACTAGCGCCTGCCAAACACGTCGCAGCCTTACTTAAACTCTGAAGACTATCTCCTAAGTAAGACACGTGGTAGTTGTAATCACACGGCGGGCCTACGACGAAGATGTCAGCTTCGTTATTTCTGAACGCTTGTCGGATCCACATGTTCAAAATTGGTGCTTCAAATCGAGGATTAGTGCCAACTAACAAAATTTTGTCAGCAGTAGCGACGTCTTTCATGTTAATATTCCCGCAATATGCAGCTCTAAGGTCACTTCCACACGCTGAATGATACATGTCTCGCTCTATATACAGATTTTCACACCCTAGCACGTTGAGCATATCTTTGCTAGCTACTAAAGTCTCGGCGCTAGCGTGTGGCCCCGCTATAGCCATTATGGAGTCAGGAGAAACTGATCTAAGTATTTCACTAGCCATTTTCAAGGCAGGGTCCCATTCAAGGGGGCAACAACACGTACCGACTTTCTTCATGGGTGTCACCAACCTTTGCATTTCGAGGGAATCAATTGCCCAGCGACCTTTGTCTGACACGTATTCCTGATTGATTTCTTCATGTTCACGAGGCAAAACACGAAGTACTCTATCAAATCTATAATTTAATACTATATTTGTACCTGTTGCATCGGTCAAATCAATCGAATTTGCTGTCTTGAGTTCCCAAGATCGCGCTTTAAAACGGTAAGGAATATTAGTCAACGCTCCGACAGGACATAAATCTACAATGTTACCGGAGAGCTCTGACAGAAACATTTTGTCTACAAAGGTGCCGACGAGCATGTCGTGGCCGCGGCCTGTCGAGCCCAGGACGTCCAAGCCGCACACTTGAGAAGCGAAGCGAATACATCTCGTGCAATGAATGCAACGATTCATTTCTGCTCGAATTAGAGGACTCAAATTTTTATTTTCCACTGCTCTTTTCCCGATGAAGTGTATGTCAGTAAACCGAGAACGATCATTGCCAAACCTCACGGACAAGTCCTGAAGGTCACATTCGCCTCCCTGGTCACATATGGGACAATCCAACGGATGGTCTGCGAGAATAAATTCTAGGACGGCTTCTTGTGCTTTTGCAACCTTCTCGGAGTTGGTGCGGATCTTCATGTTTTTAACTACACCCACAGCGCACGCAACCTGCAGCTTCCACCACCCCTCGATTTCAACCAGGCACATACGGCAGTTGCCTGCTATTGAAAGACGCTCGTGGAAACAAAAACCCGGTATAGTGACCCTTTCCCTTTTCAAAGCTTGTCCGATCGTGAAATATGAAGGCACATTTACGGCCTTGCCATTAATAAATATCGGGGTATCAGAGCCCTTTCTAACAGAGATTCTGTTTATGTTGTGATATTTCAGAAAATTTCTGGCGCCTTTAAACATTTTGTTCTATAATACGTTTTCTATGTATCTATACACAATAAATAATATGCTATAATAGTAATAATAAATTCATTTATGTGTAACTGACATATGACAATGTCACGAATACCCCTATACTTATTATACTCTTTGGTCACGAACTTTATTCGTATTTTTGTTTTTATATCTAAACTATTTCCAACCCAGGAAATAGTTTGGATTGAAAACCAAAGTTTGAACAACAATGTTATATAACTACTCTAATTAGAGTAATTATTAATTATTTAGAGTACAATTTTGATCATCAACCAATCATCCACTTGTTATCTACCATTTTTTTAATGTCAACTTAGTATGAACCAAGAGTCAACTATCAACACTAATGTTGAATTGGTAAAACATTGATTAAATATACATGCAGTGTAGGTACCTACCTGATGTATTGAGTCAATTAACAGCACGAGTGCTTCTTTGAACTGGAAAAATGTTTCAGTGGCTCTCTGGTATCTGAAAATTAAAAATGCCGCCATTTGACTTTGTGTATGTACCTAAAATAAAGCTCTGTCTATCTCAATAGGAGACATGTGGGACGATATACATACATGTATAATTGTAATGAATTTGTAAAAAAATATCAGTTTTCTATAGGAGTAGGAAATGGAAGGTTTTATAAAGAACATAAGAAAATTACTTGTGGTCATGTACAGCATCAGTGAATGCGTAGTCAAGCGCGAGTCGCAGTGCGCGTGCGGCGCGCGGCGCGGCGGGCGCGGCCAGCACACGGCGCGCGCCTCGCTCCGCGCACCGCGCCGCCACCAGCTGCGCGCACGCATCCGCCACTGCTGTCGACCTCTCCCAGCCACTCCTACGACTCACAAACATTTTATCTAAACATCTCATTTATTTAATACTAAACTCTCTGACCAGAATATAGGAGAAAATGTTTGTGTAATGTCCAAAATAAAAATTTTTCGATCACACAAAAAATTATTCCGTGTAAAAATTAAATACCCAGTACGTGGCACGGTCTTGTAGCATTCAATAATCGAAATTCAAAAAATCTATTTAATATCAATAGAGAACTCACTTGCCGACGGTAGTAAGCTTCCATGCTGGCATAGCGTCGTCCAACAGTCTGACCGCCGCGTGCGCATACTCCGCGGCCGCGCGCAGTCTCGCTGACACTGCAGCTAATGCATCTCGCAACCCTATTGCTTTCGTCAGTGCATTCTCTTGTGAACTGCCTGGACGAGTATTACTGCCCCAAATTGAGTCTAAATTGCAGAATAAATGGTGTAATTGAATGCAAACGCTTTGAATTACATTTTCTGTGATCTATGTTATCATTCAACATCTTGTCTATTAAGTATAAAATAAGTATAAAAATTACTCGAAATATTTTCTATCTAGATAATTATATATTCTCTAACAGCTATGAAACTGCATGACATTGACTACGCTTTGGATGTAATCGTACCATCCACCGTAGCGTAGCGCGTAGTATGTCTACGAATTTGTAGCGTCGTAGCATAAATACATAGAACGTACTACGCCGTAGTCACGACAATATTACTTTTATTATCGGAATTAAAAATAATTCTACATAAAGCCGTTACAATAGTTTGATCTATCCTATCGCTAATACATAGACTTACCCAGTAAGTGCTGTAACTGTGCGTACAGTGATCTCGTGCGCAGGATCTGTGCGTGCAACACTCGGCGCTCACGCACCAACTCTGCATACCGAGTGCGCAACCAACTCAGTTCTAGGCGACGCATCTCCTAAAACACAGGCTTTAATCATTTTATGAAACAAGCTTACATACTTTCCGCTTATTTCAGCTGAAATGTGTGAAATAAGCGTGAAATTAATACTGCGAGGTAACTTGTAATGAAGGCAAGAAGATGATGACAAAAATGACGAGGTCTTTACCTTTCTATTGACGTTAGCAACGAAGTCCTCATTTTCTGATGCCAACATCGGACGTCTGTAGAGGTCTAAACTGACAAACAACTGCAAGAAAACTTTCATATTAGTAGAAGTTAACCAAAATTTGAATAAAATCAACGACGAGCACGCAACTCACCTGGTGCATAGTCTTAGCATAAGTGTCTTTAGTAACTGTTGCTGTGCACTCTTCGAAAGACTTGATTTCCTAAAACAATAAGTAGACGAGTTTCGTAAAAGGATTTCGAATGACTTACAAAAAAGAAAGCAATCTTCTCTATTATTTATTATAATTTAATAAAATATAACTTTAACTCCTTTTTTTTATATAACGCGATGGAAATCCTCATGGACTTCCCACGCCGTGGGGACGACGGGGGGGGTGTGCCGGACTCTTACCGGCTAAAACCACCGCGGTGTTCCTCCTGTGCCTGTGGCCGTGACCCGGGACACCCTTGCGGATTCACCGCACCCGGCAGGCCTCGACCTACCACTAAATTGTGGCAGGTCCCACCACGTAGCAGCCCTCAAAAGCTGCGATTTCCTTCCTCGAGTGGCGCGCGGAAGTTAATAATAACTTATAACTTTAACTCCTAGAGAAACGAACTGCCATTGCAACTATTGCAGCAGTAGCAGTATTTTTTAATTAAATAATGGAATGGGATGAGTCTACAAATATAAACAATATAAATATCTAATCCACATACCTATTGATACATAGGTGTTGAAGTTCATGTCAACTTATTGTCTTTTTATTTTTTTGTGGCTCTTTATGAACTACATCATATCGTTCTTTTCTTTTATCTATTGGTATTAAAAAATTTAAGATTATTTTTTGTTTGCATGCCGTGATCTCCTATAAGTGGTGATAAATAATTTATTACATTTAACTTATTAACCAATCCACCTGCCAAGCCTAGATATTATGATATACAGTCTAGAAGGTGAACTGTTAAGGGCTGATTGATGTACCCAAATACCTGAACCTAGTTGTTACTTAGCTTCTACATATTTATGTAGTAACAGTGTACGGTTCCACTTACCAGCTGTATGCTCTCCAGCTCAGCTGCTACCACCGCGAGCCTGGCTGCTGGCTGATTCTTCTCACTCCTTGCTATCTCATCATCAATCCGCGTCAGCGCCGCCAGCACGGTCTCGTTCTTATTCAACTTTAAGGACGATTTCTTACTCAACTTCATTGGTTCAGAATACTGTACAGAAGATAGAAAAGTGAGTTGGTATTTTGTCAATAAAACTATTAAGCGATGTGGACGTTGTAAGAATTCGAAGTTTTAAGCCAAATTATAATAAACTAGCTTCTGACAGCGGCTTCTCCCGCATTCTCGTGGGATTAAAAGTAGCCTATGTGGTTTTCCAAACCATAATCTACCCATGTTCCAAATTTCATCTAAATCCGATTAGTAGTTTTTGTGTGAAAAAGTAACAAACGCGCACACACACACACACACACACACACAAACACACACACACACACTCACACGTCCTCACAAGCTTTCGCATAATATTAGTAGGACGTGAAGATTATAGCAAATCCTCCTATATTGCTTAATGATCCAGCCATGGACGCTCACGGGCTGTAGATGTTATTGTTGGTGCTAAAATTTTCAAGTATCGTGGAAATTTTCAGTTTTCGAAGTCCTACAAAAATTTTACAAAAACCAAACTTGCTACTAGGTAAGCACTTATTATGTTTGACAACCTCGCGTAATTATAAGTAACTGATTGGTTATGTAAAATTAAATTAGATATTTATCTCAAATCTTCAATTCAAAAAGATTACAAAGTCTTTTTAAACCTGCAAGTTATGCAACAAACAACTTAATTAAAAATGTAAACTATAGTAAAAGTAAACTCACAGTGGCGACGCTGATTTTCTGTGAACTTGCCATGCACCCCATGCCCACCACGTTTCCATCACTAAACAAACTTAGCAACGTTAGTAAGGGTCCTAAATACCAAGTGGAATAATGGCAGTAAGCCGGCCAAGGTTACTACGAAGAGGGTAACATTCTTCAGGCTTTGAAAGGGATCGTTTCGCATACAATGGAACGGCGCGTGCCACCGAACATGACAGGACCTTTTATACTAATTACCAAGATGTATGTTAAATAAGGAGGTGGTAAATGGTAAGGTGAAGTGAGGGTCATAAAGGACTAAAGGTAAAAAACACAACCGCAAATACATTAGCCGCTTCTAACCACGAAATCAAGGACACCAATAGTAAAAGTTAAGAAAGTAGGTAATATGAGATTCGGGAATGACCTAAAATTACGACGAGTCACCGCCCGCCGAGCCCCCTTAAAATTTTCAATGCCTTCAGTGATCTCCAAACCGTCTACCAAGTTTAAAACCTTTTCATAATGTACTATTTTGTTTAACAGCGGATGTGTGCCGGTTGTTGATAATTTTCTACGTATAACATAAATAAATGAAATACGTATAATATAAAATAAAATTTAATCTCTAATATGTTGCTAAACACAAATCTCCGCAAGATGATCTCCGACCCACCGTAAGCACTGGCCTGCGAACGACGAGCACGGGAAACTCGCCGCCCGACCAGAACTGACCCGAGCGTACGGCGCGTCGCCATCAGACTACCACAAATGTGGCCCAATAGGGCTGATGCTGCAACGGAGCAACGGAGGACTTAACGCATTACCGGGGCTCCGGCTCAAAGTACCTACAAGAGTAGGAACGGGGTGGTTTTTATTCAGTAAGAGTCTGGCACTCACTCCCGCCTCACCCAGGCGGAAGAAGTCAATGGATGATTTTCGGCCCTCAAAAAAAAGGCGCATATCTGGAGAATAGCTAAACCGATTTCGCTAATTCTATTTTTGTTCGGTTTGTTATTTTTATGCGAAAAAAATTATCTAAGAAAAAAAATTGTACTAAGGTGAAACTAAATTCGCGGGGCCCCTCTTGTAAAGTTACTATTTATGAGCTGTATAAAATTGACATATCTGTTGCAGATTCTAACATCAATGTAACATACATATCTAATAGTACCTACACTTAATTGGTCACGATACGATCACCGTGTCATACTCATGTTACTACATGACATGATAATGCATAATTCGCGAGGTACATGGATACCTACTTGACTATTATACTCATTATTTTGCTATAGGAACGCAATGCAGTGACTAAGCCAAGCGTATGTAGGTAACTATTTGTACGCTCGCCGATTCATAGTTCACCTTCGAGATTTCATTTTCTATAGATAGGTTTGTTTTCTTTCAAGGTCTCAGGTGAACAAACATTACTTTGCATATTCATAAACTAAAAGTTTAATAGCGTTCTTACTACAAACTTTGTGTTTATTCATATGTGACTTCAGGTATGGTTTTTGTTCCTGTGCGTAAGGTGACGAGTTAAAAATATCGAATGTTATTATCTGTCAATGTAGATACCTACTTTACTCTCAATGTGTTGTTAGATCTTCGATCTACAACACATTGAGAGTTTAGTATTTTAAATACCAATTTACAGGGATCAAACCTTCGCCCCTAAAGCAGCAGCAGAAGAACGAATTACATAAATATTACGCAAAGCCATGACAGACAGACAGTGTCGAACGAAAGATAATTTAAATATTCCCGCTTTTAAAATCGATTGATAACAGTATAAAGCCCTTTCACACACATTATTATGTACCTAAAGAGTTCATTCTGTAAGTTGAGAATATCATTAATGTTCAAAATGTTAATGCTTAATATGTTTTTTTTACTTTTATATTTCAACTATTTTAGAAATAAAAAAATCTGAGATATATTTTTGTTTTTTCATTTTTAGTAAATCGAATCGACTAAATCTGGAATGTTGCACTATAAAAACCTACCTACTGTACTGTCAACGTCGACCCAACCTCCCCCTCCACCCTTCTTCCGAATCCGAATCATCCTTGTCATATCGCTAAAGTTATTGCTTATTTTACGAATTATTAAATTATTTTAGTTTATTTTTTGTTACTTTATAGTTAATTTTAACAAAAACGTATCGATAGACAAAACAAACTAGTGGTAAGTCAACAATATCTTCTAATAATTTAGAAAGTGGCACATGTCGGTTGTTCTCGAATTTGCTAACAAATTACCCGTTTTATTCATTTCAGGTAGAGTTACACGAATAACTCTCGACCTCAGGCTTCGGCCTGCGGTCTTAACAACACCGTAACCACAAAAAAAGACGCATAATCCGCAAAATTCTCTGCCATACTTCCTCCAATATAACTCAACTATTTCATAATATTATATTTAGTTATACAGTAAACATGTCTCAGTGGAACAATACTTACGCTTACAACAACCAATACCAGGCCTGGAACGGTGATCCCAATGTCCAATATGTGAACCAAGGCTACTACCCCAACAGAGCGGACCAACCTAATCAATATGTGAGCTTTAATGAATTTCTTTCTCAAATGCAAAACAATGGAGCGCCCAGTACTAGCAACTATAGCAATGTTCAATATGAAAACTACCCTCCAGGGTACAATTACCAGAACATACCTACTACTGCCCCCCAGAATCCTCAGTTAGAAAATTATGGATATGCAGCTCCAGCCTCCAATGTTCCCAGTGGCTCAGAATCTTACCCCATGAATATGCAAAGCCAGTATGCTCCAGTGGCAAACAATCCTAATGTGTATACTAATGCTATGATATTGAAATCTAATCTCACTCCAACAGCTACTGAGTTTGTGCCAAAAAGTTCTATGATGAAACCTTCAGTTAGCAGTCAGAACATTCCTGAATCTAGTACTGTACGTGATGATAATGAATCTAGAAATAATTATAGCAATGTAAATGAAACTAGGAATCAATTCAATAACTCTAATGGGTCTAGAAATACTTACCCCAGTACAAGTGAACCTCGAAGTGTTGGTGGTAGTTCATCAGACACAAACTGGAGAGAAAGGCCACAGAGTACACAGCAGGTTAATGAAACAAGCCACAAAACTGAATCTTACCAACGCACACAAGAACCCTCAAGAAATCAAGAATCCACTAGCCGTCACCGAGATAATAACTATCGCAACAACGAATCTAATGCACGGCACCATGATACTAGCAGTCGTAATCAAGAAGGTAACAGCCGTAGCCATGATACTAGCAGTCGTAATCAAGAAGGTAACAGCCGTAGCCACGAAGCTAACAATCGAAATCAAGAAGGTAACAGTCGAAACCAAGAAGGTAACAGTCGAAACCAAGAAGGTAACAGTCGAAACCAAGAAAGTAACAGCCGTAATCATGAGGTAGAATCCAGGCAATATGAATCTAGTAACCGGCAGCAGGATTCCAATAACCGGACCTATGAGACCACCAACCGCAACTATGAGAATACAAGCAATAAAAGAGGCCAAACAAAATCAAATTATAAATCAAAGTCTAAAGATGATGCCCGCACATTCTACAACAGTTCTATTAGTAAAGACAGCCAGGATGTGAGGAATGGAAGAGGGGAATCTTCTGGGCGGGGTAAGAATTGGGTGGGCACTCCTCGCCTACGGGCCATGGAACGCAACAGCACAGAAGATGAGCAATATGCCAATACATACTTACAAGGCAGGGAAGATAGAGTGGAAAGAGACAACAGAGACAGAGATCATTCTAATAGAGAACGAGATGTTCGAGAATCGAATAGAGATGTACGAGATAAAGATAGAGGAGATGTGCGAGTAAGGGATAGAGATAGAGAACGCAACGTACGCGAAAGGGACAGAGATAGGGAACGTGATGTAGGAGATAAAGATAAGGAACGGGATATTCGCGATCGTGATAGAGAACACAGAGAGCTGGAGAGAGAACATAGACACAGGGAAAGAGAGAATCGAGAAAAAGAGAGAGAACATAGAGAAAAAGAAAGAGATAACAGAGAGAGGGAAAGAGCCATAAAATCTGAACATAATCCCAGTCCTGCTCGGTCTAAGGCACGATTTTTTTATGACCAAGGTTTGTACATTTTCTTTGACTTTTTCTTACAAAGTCTATCAATAATTAATATATAATTAAATTTGTGCTTTACTGTTTAGCTAATAAGGAAATGACCCAACGTGAGCGCCTCACTGAACAGTTGGACAAAGGAACGTTGGAATGTCTAGTCTGCTGTGAACGAGTGAAACAATATGACCCGGTCTGGTCGTGCAGCAACTGTTACCATGTCCTGCATCTTAGGTGCATTCGGAAATGGGCTATGAGCAGCATGGTTGGTGAGTGAGAATATAGAATTTTTTAATATTATATATTTTGTTGGAACTTCATAATAGAAATCAAATTGGCCCAAACACCTACTGAAAGGATATTTATGCAAGTTTTTGTCAGGCAGTAAATACATTCTTATTTGAATTTTTAAGTCATGATAAACAATTCTCTAAATTCCATTTTGTTAAAATGATGATGTTTGCCATTTATATCCAGTTTTTTTAGCAAAAGTCCTATTTTGTGACCTTTTTACTGCGTAAATGTAATTTAAATATTGTCTGTTTTAGAGAGTAAATGGCGCTGCCCAGCGTGCCAGAACACAAACGAGACTATACCGACAGACTACCGATGTATGTGCGGCGCGGTCCGTACTCCCGAGTTCCAGCGCGGCGCCGTGGTCGCCCACACGTGCGGGCGCTCCTGTCGCCGCCCGCGCTCCTGCCCCCACCCCTGCACGTTGCTCTGTCATCCGGGACCATGTCCACCTTGCCAGGCTACTGTTATGAAGTATGTATCTAATGTCTACAGTCATCTTATAACCATACAATGTACAGTGATTTGTTTAATGTATAAAATGTTCTATTAAACCCTAAACCCCTTTTTACTAATCATACTAGGTATAATAAGATACAAAAGAAAAAAATGCTTTAATTAAAATGTATCATAATGTTATATTTTATAATGTGACATATTGCACAATGTATATTATAATCAATCTATCAATATTATTGCACAATAGAATCTTGCTCAACATTAAAGTTCAGGTCATTTGATATCGTCATACAAAAACATTATGACTCATTCATTTGGGTAAACCCAAATTCACAACTGTTCTATAATCCTATTTTGTTTAAGCTTGTCCTTATACCTGGATGCTTACTCTTGAATCCAATTCCGATCGATCGACATTGACATTGTGAAATTTCGTACTCTTGACTTGTAACACTAGCGCCTTTGGCATCCGTATTGCGTGGATATTTCATGAACTAAATGGTATTGAGTTTGGTTTTATATTCCGTACTCTATGCTACTTTAACTGCTATGGTAGGGGTTGTATAGTTTTGACATTGGATAATTATTGAGATTTTATTGGATTGAAATTGTATTGACATAGAGATTGGTTTCAAGAGTAAGCACCCTGATTACTGAGATCGACACAATGTCCTTTTTCTAGTGCTACTAGACTGCGCGACACAATGGAGGATAATGCTTTCATTGTCTCTTTATCAGACGTCATCCTTTGTTTTCTTTTGTATCATTCTTCACGAAAACATACTAACATACCCATTTTTTTCTTATTCATCCACATAATATAGATTCTGCACATGCTCACGTCACGTCATTGTCCTATATGGGGTAGACAGAAATTACTTACTTTAGCTTTCATCACATTCAGCACACCTGTAATGTGACCTGTACCTGACCAGAATATCATATCATATCATAAAAAACTATGAATGACAGAACACAGTGAATTTTCAAATATATTTTCTTAGGTCTTGTGGTTGTGGAGCGGAGAATCGCTCAGTGCTATGCAGCAGTAAGTTGCCACAAGTGTGTGGTCGCGTCTGTGGACGTACTTTGGAGTGCGGCGTGCATAAGTGTACCCAGAGCTGTCATGATGGACCTTGCGAAACTTGTACTGAGATGGTTGAACAAGGTATACTATCTTATTATCACTAATAATAATGCTCGGTCCCTGTTGATCGTAGAGAGATGTTTTGTAGCCTATATGACAAAAAAGTTTTTACTTTATTACGTTACGCCCGTTGTTTTTAAGCTTCTGTGCCTGGTGTAAGGACTTCATATTAAGGGGAAATTTTTATTTGCCTTTACAAGTGGATATCTCATATTTAAAGCTGATAATAATTAATTTTATTTATCAATTTCTATACATTTCGGTCTACAAACCCAGTGACTGACCAAACTAAAGTAGCGAATCTATTACAGTATGCTACTGTCCGGCTGCGAAGGCCCGGTCGGTGGCGTGCACGGCGGAGTGCGGGGGCGCCGTGCTGTGGTCGTGCGGGGAGGCGTGCGGCCGCGTGCTGGCGTGCGGCGCGCACGTGTGTCGCGCCCCGTGCCACGCGCCGCCCTGCCAGCCCTGCGCGCTACTGCCGCAGTATGTCACCACCTGCCCCTGCGGGAATACTAAGTAAGTTCATAACTTCTAATTGAGTAATTATATTCTACAGCTTGCTCGTGGTGACTCGACTAATTTCAAGTCACAATAGGAGACCAAAGTTATGCCAACACATCTTCTATTAAAATCAACTGTTGGCTAAGCTATGGCTTTAACTTAGTTCTTTAAACTACTTCTAATGTCCTTATTCGTTTAGGTTAGCTAAAGATTCTCGCAAGAGCTGCACGGAACCGATTCCGCTGTGTGGCAACATTTGTGCGAAACCACTATCGTGTGGACCGGCTGGGGACAAACACTTCTGCAAGATCAATTGCCATGAAGGTAAGCCGTCATCAATTAGATCATTTGTCTCTTTTCATTTTAAATAATACTTTATTTAATCCATACGCATTGCCCAATATTACGAATTTTATAGATAAGATCTGAGATATCTTATAAGATATTACAGAATTACTCACTACCTTTGCGCAATCATTGCTAAAAATCAAACTGTTTTATGAAATACGGACTAATTAGAAAAGACTACATGGTTGGTAGATTGATAGATACAGGCACATGGGTCAATCATAGTACTATAGGAATTTTTCGGTGTTTTGAAACTCTCGTGATAGCATGGAATCTAGAACAGTGTCCGAAATATTGCAATAAGGTCATTCCTGATTTTAAAGAACAACCAACTCATAAGTACCATGGCTAGCGAAGGTGTATGTTACATTTTTGTGCACTTTTGCTCTCAAAGGGTCCTCTTTATAAGAACGTGCAATAATGTTATGTTCTTGTGTTCCACAGGTCCATGTCCCGAATGCCCGGACAAGACAGTGTTACAGTGTCGCTGCGGACACTCCAGCCGCGAGGTGCCGTGTGTGGACCTGCCACAGATGTACAACAATGTGTTCTGCCAGAAGAAGTGCAATAAGGTATGATCCATCACTTCTACATTACTTTGATCCATTATATCATTTGCATTATATGTGTAACTAAGGTAATGTAGTGTTTATTATCCTGGAAAATGTGATTACTTATATTTTGGTCAATAATAATTATGTCTGCAAAACCCACGATTTCTGCGATCTTAGCATGCATTTCATGCATCGACTAAACACCAAAACCCGACGACTGAATTTAACAATTTATTTATGTAGCCATGTGAAGGGTTATCTATACTACAACTAGACTTTATTTGTGTAAACAGAAATTGTCGTGTGGCCGACACCGATGCCGCACGGTATGTTGCGCGGCGACGTCGCACCGCTGCGCCGTCGTCTGCGGCCGCACGCTGGCCTGCCAGGCGCATCGCTGCGAGGACTTCTGTCACACCGGACACTGCGCGCCCTGCCCTAGACTCAGTATGTATCTGCTTTTATAATATCTATATCTTGTTAAATTTAATTATATGATTCGTGTACAAACGTAAATTGTCGTTAATGCTATAGACAAATTCATCATAGGGTATTTGACACTTTTTTGAAAAGTATATTAAAATGTTTTTAACTCAGCCATTTTAATTGTAGTATTTTTATAAGTTTAACACATAACTGTTTGACGAGGAACTTCGACTAGTTCCAACCCTCGCTACGCTAGGGACTCATATCCATAAGCAAGATTGCGTGACGTTCGCCGCATGGTGAGTAGATTACTAAGCAGAGTGTGACGTCGCAGTATTCGAGGAGCTGTCGTGCGCGTGCGGCGCGGAGGTGTTGTTCCCGCCGGTGCGGTGCGGCACGCGCGCGCCGGCCTGCGCCGCGCCGTGCGGCCGGCCGCGCGGCTGCCCGCACCCGCCGCACCACTCGTGCCACGCGGGGGACTGCCCGCCCTGCGTCGTGCTCACCACCAAGCGGTGCCACGGGAACCACGAGGTCAGACATTCAAACTAATCTTAACCCGTCGACCGTCCACGTTCCTTATGATCCAACGGGTGCACACGTGACATTTGGAGAAAGAAAGAAATAAAGAAAGAAAATGCATTTATTTGGCCATTGGCACACGAAAACTAGGATCATTACAATAGAAATAAAAATACAGTCAAAATAAAAACAAAACATTAACAATAGATTTTATAAAAGAGAAAGCAGCATGGAGCATTTTTTCTTATGATCCACCGGATGCTCTTAAGGACGCTCGAGGGGTTAAGTACAACAGTTTTATTCATTCCTTGGAACTACTATTAAAAGTGACGATTATTCGACAGGAACGAAAAACAATACCGTGTTCCCAAGAAGAGTTCTCGTGCGGTCTACCCTGTGGGAAGCCCCTTCCTTGCGGCAAACACACTTGTATAAAGACTTGCCATAAAGGACCCTGTGATACTGGCAAGTGAGTATTCAACATCATATTTATTTAAATCTCATTATATGTGATTCGCTTGCATAAAGGTAATCTTATAATGATCAACATTGTCATTATCTGCCAGTTGCAAAAGAATAAACAAAATAATTTTATTATGTTTCACGTTTTACTCACATAACTGTTTGATGACAACTCGACTGGTTTCAAGCTCACTCGGAGCTCATAGTCATGAGCAATATTGCGCCACAAATGACGCTGAAGCTAACAGTTATCATGTATGCCAGTTAGCAGATAATGAGTGAGCTAAACCCACATAACAATGTTAAACATGTATGTGTTGCGTAGATGCAGCCAGCCCTGCACGGAGAAGCGTCCGTCGTGCGGGCACCCGTGCGCGGCGCCGTGCCACGTGGGCGGGGGCGGCGACCCCACGCCGTGTCCCAGCGCCGCGCCCTGCCGCCGCCTCGTGCGCGCCACCTGTCCCTGCTCGCGGAGGCACGCCGAGCGGACCTGCGCCGACAACGCCCGGGATTATGCCAAGTTAGTACGATCATTGCTCAGTCTTACTCATGGTCATCAAAGTCAAAATCGTTTGCTTTAATCAGACATAAGAACTATTTTTGCTAATCTAAAAGTTATGGGGAAGTCTTATGTTCAGCTGTGAATGTCTTATGGATGATATGATGATTTTTGCAGAACCGTAGCTCGTTAATAACAAAATTTGTCTATCAAATGTATCTTTCACAGAACAGTTTGAATAAATGTGTTATAATTTGTACTAACTTGATACTCTCTGTAACAGGATGATGAGCGCTCTAGCGGCTACCAAGATGGCCGAGGGAGGTACAGTTGACGTATCCGAAGTGCAGCGCCCTAGCAATATGCTCAAAACGTAAGAAATAACCTTTTATACATTCTACCTTCCAAAGTTATTCTTCCCCCAAAATACATGTAACAACGTTGGTAATCTTGCTACTTTATTGTTCGAGTAATCATATTACAGGACTCAATTACAGAGCCTAGCAAAGTATAGGCACTTGGAATCTTTATCTATACATCTATACATATAAATAAAATTGGAGTATCTGTTTGTAATATTAACATAACCACTTTTTACTAACATTAAGTATAAAATGGCAAATTTTTTTATGGCATAAGCCGGTAAACGTGCAGTCGGATTACTTGATGATAAGCAATCGGCGTCGTCCATGGACACCTGGAAAACCAGAGGCGTTACAAGTGCGTTATCGGCTTTTTGGGGATTAGGAGTTTGAGGATCGTTGTGGTTCAGGGATTTGGGAGATTGGGGAAGGGGAGGGTATTTGTGCCTCCGGTAACCTCACTCACACGACGAAACACAACGCAAGCGTTGCTTCACGTCGGTTTTCTGTGAGGCCGTGGTATCACTCCGGTCAAGCCGGCCCATTCGTGCCGAAGCATGGCTCTCCCACCCTTTTTTATTATGTTATTGAATATTTTCAGTTTGGAGTGCGACGACGAGTGCCGCGTGGAGGCGCGCACGCGTCAGTTGGCGCTGGCCCTTCAGATCCGCAACCCCGACGTGTCGGCCAAGCTGGCGCCGCGCTACAGCGACCACGTCCGCACCACCGCCGCTAGAGAACCTGCATTCGCTAACCAAGTGCATGACAAACTTACCGAGCTCGTGCAATTAGCTAAAAAGGTACTCTATTGCTCTCTATTCTGTGTTATACTTTCCTTTTTCTGCCTAAGTTGAAGGATGCTCTTGTTGTCTTATCCTGTGGAAGATTTTTATTAACCTCTGTGGCTATCCACATCGTCGGCGCAAGATTAGGATCGCTGACCTTGTTCAATACAGTTCAATAATCAATTCAATAATACAACTAATAAACATTTTTATGCAAAGAATTCTGTGCATGGGATAAACGGGAAAGTACAAAGAATTTCATACAAAATTTCGAACACGTTGCGTTGCAATACTGCAGTTTTTAACTTATATTTTATTTACAGTCAAAACAAAAGACTCGTGCGCACTCGTTCCCGTCAATGAACAGACAGAAGCGTCAGTTTATACACGAGATGTGCGAGCACTTCGGTTGTGAGAGCGTGGCCTACGATGCTGAACCCAACAGGAACGTCGTGGCCACCGCTGATAAAGAAAAGGTAATCAAATTGTTACAAACTGAAATATTACTTAAATGCAATAATTCTCAAGGACATACAAGTCAATATCGTCATTATCATCTCGTACTCTTCATATCTAGCCACTGACAGCCACTGCACCTAGAAGGGTGTTCCTGTTCACTATATTGGGCTGCACTATGTTTACCACGATACATGGTCTACTTCACAAACTCGTCTACCTCTAGCGGTCATGACTTCTGCAAAAACCTACTAAACTGATCTGAACGAAGTTTAACGCCATATTCTGCAATAACTTTCACTTTGAACAATAGTTTGAGTGTACATTCTATGTTTTGTATAGTCATGGCTACCAGCAATGAGCGTGATGGAGGTACTAGCCCGCGAGGCAGGCAAGCGTCGTGTCCCGGGCCCCGTACTACGCGCCCCGCCCGCCGCACTGGGCTCCTCGGGGCCCACCGCCGGCCCTTCACAGGCGACTAACTCTGCTACCAATAAGTACGTATATAATGCTTATTTTGATTTTAGTATTTTATTAATGGAATAGTTGTAAACACGATTGCTGAAGTCTCTAGTCTCTTAATTCCTGAATTGGTCAAAGCAGTAAGGGGGCGTCCATAAATTACGTGAGATGTTTAAGGGGGGAGGGGGTAGACTCAAATCTCATCTAATCTTACGTTGGAGTGAGGGAGGCAAATACCACGTTTTTTTTTTATTAAAACTAAAAAGAAAAATAGTATTGTAGTCCATTTAATCCAGATGGTACATGCTTCAGATTTACATGCATTTGTTTTATACTTGTAGTATTCTATTGTTACATTTTTATTACACTTGTCTTATCAGCAATATTGATTACTAGTCCTTACTAGTCGTAAACAAAAGTACGAAGCAAAATTTCTTGCGTTAACAATCCAAATTTTGAATAAAATCTCACCAGGAAATTTCACCAGGGGGGAGGGAGGGAGAGAAAATTTAAAAAAACACCTCACGTAATTTATGGACGCCTAATGAGTTCGGTTTTTTTTAATTTACAGTAATATCGAAGTTTACATTTGTGCCCATCGCATAACAATAGGTTCACCATGGGACTAATGAACTTTTAACTTTACCACAGATCATCGAGCGGCTGGGCGACTTTAACTTCAACGAACGCTTGGGCCGCTCGCAGCCAGCCGAAGCAGCCAAGCCAGCCACAGCCGCCGGCCGAAAAAATCGACTACTTCGACAACCCGCCCGACAACTAGTCGACTAGCTCAAATTGTAGCGTAGGTACGTACACTCAGTGCATTTTATACGCAACGTTTAACTTATTTTTTGCTCTGGCAACCTTTAATTTTAGCAAGGTGCCATTTTGATTTAGCTGTGTTAAGTCTGTGGTCTTAATTTGAACATCGAATTGTATTGTTATAATTACCACGCTTACCGTTAATGATATTGGAGGAAAAATCTATGTAATCCAAAGGGGGATTTAGAACTAACATTATCACTTTACCAAAAACGTGTCAATTTTCATGGTATTTATATTAGCTTGGAACTCATAATATAGAATTATAAACTATAATTATATTGCAATTGTCAGCTGATTTTTTCAATATAATAATCAGTTGTAATATCTAGCAAATAATTATAATTATTACATTAGCAAGTTCCTGATATAGTGATCTCCCAGTTATTTAATATATTTATGTACTAATGTAATAGATTTAATCCACACAGCTTTTTTCTTCTTTTTTAATGCACTGAGTGTATATCGACAGACAATAGAGTCAATTTTATAAATGTTTACTATTCTTATTGTAATGTATTGTACACTAAATCAAAATATCAGATAGATTAATACATAGGGTTTTTATGGGGCTATTACCATATTGGGGTGGATGCAAAGCCAAGTGAATGGAGATAGTAAAGGGTTCATACATATAAAAAGATGAATAAGGCATGTTTTCAAGAAAATACTCTTACTTATCCTTATTTAACTATTTAGAGACCTAATTGACCACATATCATATTCATTCCATGTTATGGTTCCCTTTCAATGTATAGTTTCCATGTGTCCTTGAATTTCCATCCACCCCATTCTAACCAATAAATTATATTCGGCATCTTTATGAATTTACAGCGGAGGAAAGTCTGCTTTTCGCATAATTAAATTAAAAATATATTAATGAATAATTCCAAATTGTATGTGCCTATACACAATAGTAAATGCCGTTGAATTACCGAATTATCGCCACAAGTCTTGAAAATATCAATGACTGGCAGTTTGTATTGTGTGTAGGAACTTAAAAAAAAATTAGCACAAAATGTGAAGCACCTTATATTAAAAAGCTGGACCCCTTTACCCATCCTAATCAATCAGCGGCAACTTGGATTATTTATAGAACAAAAATAATATATCCTGCAAAGCACGCCATACAAATGAAATGACACACGATAAAATATTATTTAAGTAAGGTATTTCAGATATTTACCTAAATGTTTAGAAATTAATAATCGTATAGATTCGTGTTATTATTGTTACCCGACTATAGTTGGTTGATTTTAGCCAATTTTTACATAGTTACAGCATTAACCAAGCATGGTATTTTTATTTTATTGAGACGACTGTGCGTTATAGTTAAATAACCACGATTTAGATAGAATAATTCAGTTATTTGTTATAAGCCCTATGCGAGCCCCTGCAGGCTATAGTCGGGTTTTAGTTTTAATAAATGTCTATACATGGAGCTCCCAGTATATAATAATTGCGGTTGATACAATATTTGTGGTCTAACCAAGAATTTGTATCAATCTCAATACACAGTCCATGCCTACTCCCAACTTAGTTGGGGTAAGCCGAATGATAGAAATAGAGCTTTATTATTTGTTACTAAACTCCATTATCTCTGCCCATACTTTGGAAGAGATCTAATACGTCCGTTAAACGTAATTTTTTACTCTTATCTAGTACTGGGCGCGCCATGCATCAATATTCCTTTAAATAAAACATATTCTGGTAATTGTGATAAAATAAAATACAAAAAAAAAAACAGTATACTAGTTGAATGTTTAATTGTTTAATTACCCTGAATGTTGTATATGCAAGCCTTAACGATGCACATTTTGATAGCTATCAGTATATTAATAAGGCCTCTTTCATTGAACTGTTCAGAAACATTGCGTTCATATATTAATACATAAAGTATACTATTTATATGGCCAAATAGATGTTTATATATTTAGATATTTTTCGTAAAGAGATACATCATTAAATGTTACCACGTACAATAGAATTTAAAACAATTTACTTGTTGTTGTTATACTTATTATGTTCCTGCCGTATATTTTTGTAATTATAAAATTTTTGTTCTACCGGCCTAAGTCCGATTTCATTTGATTTTTTGTTAAAGCTGGCACCAGAGCTGTCAACATTTTAGTGGTGGAGTTAAGTTCTTACACTTACTTGTCTTCACGTTATTTATCACATTTACTTTCAAATTATTTTTTCCTTTTTCTACAATGCGCAAACTTTCTCCCACCACGGAAAATCTTGCCATCTTTGCTGCCGGGGACTATTGTGTAGTTGGACTCTATTGTAAAACTTCACAGGCGAATAGGTTCTGATTTAATATTTTGACTTGTGTTTGAGACACCAACACAAAAATATTTTCTGTTCAATAGTAAGTTGATACGAGAAAAAAGTCCTGATACGAGAAATAGTTGTTTTAATGAGGGTCTTAAACACGGCTACACTAACTAGGGGCGTTAATGCGGCGTAACTTCAATTGGCTAATCTAAAATTATCTTACACCTCAATAGCGCCCACTGATTATAATTAAATTAAAAAAGCACAAAAAGGGAAATGTTGCATGAATCATTTATATACTATTTATTGGAAATCGTAGGTTAATAGATTCCACAATAAAATTCAGGCTTTTTATACATATGTTTCCTTTTTCTATAACAAAATACTTGTTTTGGTACGAATTAAATGGTGAAGGGGATGCGTTCTTATGAAACACTTTCGATGTAACTTCTACGTAGAAATCTATAAAAATATTGTAACCAACTTAAATTCGCTGTTGTACAGGCGACACGTGTATTAAAGTGTTACATATTTGTTACGCCAGTTTTTTATTTCTTTGTAATTTCATTAAATTCTTATCAGTATTTGTATTATAATTTCCTGCCAACGTTGTGCCACGAGATAGATACTAACTAAATAATTGATTCATCAGTTAATAAAACGAAAATGTAATATAATTGTTTAATGTGTAACAATAATTTCACGGATTAGAGTCGTCAATGTCCATTAATATTCTATCTATATACCGAGCTATTTCCAACATTGGGTTTAACACCTTATTGCGGTTTCTACATCGTTTTGTTGTCGTTTGTTTTTTACAAAACTTTTCTGTCAAATTATCTGGCCATAGACTGCAGTTTGAAGAAGATGCCAATTCTTTAGAAGTGTGTAACTTGGGGACGCTGTTCCACGGTTCACTAGAGCGCCGCCTTGCTGCGACCTCCTTATGTCTTTGCAACGAACGCTTACTCAGAGGCTGCCAACCATAGTCTGAATACCGTGTCTTAGCCCATGTTCTCGCTTTTTTCCTTGTCAATGGCTGCGAAATAATTTCATTTTGAGAATTTACAATTAGATGAGCATTCTTTTTCTTGTTTTTGGCTAAGAAAAACTTGTTAGACTACCTTATGGTCACATGTTTTACTGCATTTTCTTGATTGTGCTGATTTTTTCTGTTTAATATTTAAATCAGAACTCTTGTTGGACACATCCGATCCGTTATAATTAGCAAACTTTATTGGTGAGACGTAAGGCTGCAAAATATTACCTACAAATTAATTATAAAACTATCAAATTTTGTAAAGTAGACTTTGTTATGATAGGTAATTTTATCTCAATTTTCTTCCTGCCCCTATTGGTTTTTTCTTACTTTTCCGTTCAAACCTAACAGACAAAATTACTTTTATGTCATATATCATTTTTCACCCAGTCTGACTACCGTTTGTTTATCTATTTGTGGTGTTTAAGTGCTATTGTTAAAGGCCTCTCTCCTTTTATCTAATAATTACAACATAAACTTAGATACCTAATCATTATCATCAGACAAAGGGCCTCTCCCTTACTCCTCTACGTTGAACAACAGCTCGCCACTTGTTGGAGCCGCAGAAATATCTTTTACGATTCTCTCAGTCATATAAAAGATGATTAAGAACCTGTTCCTACCTACAACTTACTCTACAACGATAATATTAATAATTACTCACACATGCTGTTGACGCCTCTACGCAATACATCGCACGCCAGTACCGCCGTCAAAAATTGAGAGCTATAATCGCAGTAAGTGTTACCTAAAAATTGAACACCGTTTAATGAAAGATATATACGCTGCACTGACTGTTAGTTAATCTATTCAAACAATCACCATGGTTCAGTTGTACAACTTGATATGCGAACGATACTAGCCGAGACCATATCGCGATTAAATTGTTATTGTATTCTTGATTATTTTTCTTGCTAACCGGTACGTTCGTCGGCTCACTTAGGACGCCGACACTGACTGTTGTCACACTTTCGTCTTCATCAGAGATTTTGTCGACATCTTCAAGTTTTGTAAACTTTTCTAGACATCGTAGGTCTTCCTTAACTGAATCAAATTGCATATTTATATCTTTGGCTATAGAGTTTGTCATGAATTCTATTTCTTTGGGCGATAACAACTCGTCAGGAAACTGTTTCTGATTCTCCACTACGCTGTTGACACTTCCCGCATCACTGCAATTATCATCCTTATTTTGTTCTTCAGTACCTTTGTAGTTGTCCATACAGCACGCACTTGCAGACAAGCATTCTCGGCTGAACGAATCTTCGGACAACTCCGTACCGGCGACTTGGGTTACTTGCTCGTCCTCGTTTAGTGCACAGAAACTATCAAAGAAATCGTCGTTGCTCACGCTGACTGTTGACCTTGTGCTCTCGCTTTTATCTTTCTTTATTCGGGACTCGCTTTGACATAGTCCAAATTGGTCGTATAGCTTCCGCCTAGCCCGCCGCTCTGACAATTCCTGTCGCAAAATTCTGTCCTGATACGAGCGATCTTTCAGTTTCTGTGCCGCATCCAACTGGCTTCTTTCAAGCGACTTGTATTGCTCGTAGAGGTACCAAGACCGGACTCTGTGTGACTTTTTATCGATAGTGTCTAGATCTAAAAAGCATTTTTTTTTAAGTTAGCACGAATAAATT